CTGTGGCCAGTCCTCCTCACATGCCTCCTTATTGTCTACTCCCACCCTCATATCCAATCCCTTTCTTTTTTAAACTAAAATACTGTTTGAGGAAGGCCTATGAGCCTGAAACAAATTCATTCAATGCTGACTTGCTTCTAGAGGTCACTTGATGGAACTGGTTAAAATTTAAAAAGGGGGGCAAACAAAATGAATGCACATGTATTCTTACTCCCGGGGCTGTGACCGCACTATAATAAGCACTGAGCAGCACCATGAACAACCTTCGAAGATTATTGTTACCAAGCAATTCAGCAAGTTATCAAGCTGTGGAAATCCTACATGTTCTTTCAAAGCTGCCCTGATGTTATGTTCATAGGGACTTCTGGTTGAGACACGACTTCTGGGTGACAGCTTCCAACTCAGGGGACAACAGGCTGCAGCGACGAGCTGCTCGGGAGCTGGGCCAGCTGCCTCAGACAGACACTGGTGATGCTGAAGACGCAGAGGCAGAGTTTGGATACAGCCATTTCCCGAATTTGTGTGGGATTAGAAAAAATAACACCTCCAAGTTAATGTGATTTATATTATTAAATTAAATATATACGTAGGGATTTGACACTGTCATTTACATCCTTAAAGGTGTTTCTTTTAAATTGGCAAAATAACTCTTGCCATACATCTTCTCCTTGGAAAAATGACGGCTTGTCCTACACACTTGACATCAAGGGGACACTTTAGGTAGCATACGGTGATGGGGAGTTGAGCCAATGGAAGCCTGAGGGTCTCCGAGGCAGGTCTACCCTCTTCACTACCTCCTGGCTTCCAGAACGGGATCAAAAGGAGCCTCCGTGGTAACTGCCTCCTTGAACAGCACAGTGCCCTTCCAAGGTCATGATAAGTATAGAAACTGCTCAGTCTTGATTCTGACGTGATTGAGAAAAAAATATGTTCCTCTCCTGCCTCGGCTCCCTGCCCTCAACTCTCTCTCTCTCTCTCTCTCTCTCTCTCTCTCACACACACACACACACACACACACACACTTCCTTGATGTCATTTAGGGTGAGTCTCACTGGAATTTAGGTTCTTCCGATTCTGAGACAATATTCTTAGCTGGTCCGAGACCTGGCTCCATCCAGTTCCACCCCTTTCTGGCTGGGCACCACTGGGTTACTTCCCTTCTCTGTGCCGCAGTTGCCTTATCTGAGCAGTGAGGACCGCCTTGGAATCTGCAGCCCAGGGCAGATGGATGCACTGGTCAGGAACCAAAGTAGTGTTCTTGGCCGAGGGCCTCTTGGCCCTGAGCATGGCATTGGAGGGGCAGGGAATGGGAGGAATGTAACCCCAACCTTCTGACCTTCCTTTCTCTGGCAGTGGCCTGCAGGAAAGCTCTGGACAGCACCACGGTCGCAGCTCACGAGTCGGAGATCTACTGTAAGGTCTGCTACGGGCGCAGGTACGGCCCCAAGGGCATTGGGTTCGGACAAGGCGCCGGCTGCCTCAGCACGGACACGGGCGAACACCTGGGCCTCCAGTTCCAAGAGTGAGTCACTGTCCCGCTTCTCGCAGCCCCGCACAGCCCCAGTTATCGGGGCAGCCCGGTCTGTTCCCATAGCAACGTTTTCTGGAAGCAGAAAGAACGGACTTTATTGTTGACCTGCCAGCAATAGGAATATTCAGTCTGATCAAGTTTTAACAATGTGTCATCTCTCCAAAGTCTCTCTTTAAATTATCTGCCTTTCTAAAGGGCAATTACTTTTATACCACGGCCCTTGGTCTGCATGTCAAGAGAAAACGCAGAAAGTACAGATGTTCCATTGTCTGACCTTTGCAAAACTCTGTGGAGTCTCTTCTCTTCCCTTTGAGCCCTTCTGTGTAAATCACATAAATACACAGGGAAGCAATGGCCGTTTGCTTTGAGCTAGCCACTAAAGGCTTTCTTCCCTTGGGTTCTGGGATGACTCATGTCCACAGGGGGAGTGCCTCTGCGGGGATGGGCTGGATGTGTGTCAGGAGTAAACAGTTACATCTGTTCTGTGGGTCTCCCTGGATGTCCGTTGCCAACGCAGTGCCGAAGTTTCCCTCTGAAAATTCCCCCGAAGATTGCACTGTGCCTCCTCCATTTACCAGGCTGTCCTACCAGCCTTGATGATCACACCAGACTCCAGCCCAGAACTGAGCACAGACTGACAGCCACTCACCTGCAGCTGCTGTCTGGCCAGCTGGTGTCCAGCTCCGCTCTGAGGTGGGACTGGGCAGAAAGGCCCAGCCCAGTGGAGGCAGTGTCCCAGGGAGGGCCTGTCCTGTGGAGCAGTGAGACTGTCTGAAGGGTCATCTGCTCCCTCCCAAAAAGAGGAGCCCTGGAAAAGTGCAAGGATGTGTGATTAGCCATTTTAATTTTTCCCGTGACCTGATCCCAACTGCACACTCTGTTTAAAGAAGCCGACACCAACCGCAGTCTCCGCTGTGCGTTAACCGACGCTCACTCCCCTATGTTAGGGCTTTCTTACAGTGCTGCACATGGACGGACAAGAGTCTGGAGACCTCAGTTTCATCCCGTCTCCACTGGTTATGAGCTGCTTGACCTTGGGAAGCTGCGCCTCCCACCCTCACTTCCTCCAACTAGTCCTGCCTACTTTAGAGGTTATGGTGAGACTTGAGCAGTAAATGGACAAGCAAACACTGAAAGATGTGGGAACACAGGGACTGTTACTGTGCCTCTGTCTTGGACACTGCTCACAGGGGGCAAGGGATGCATCAGCTCGTGATCGTTCAGTGTCAGCTGTCCAGATCCCATCTTGTCCTGTAACATGTTCATGGCTCATGCCAGGAAGCAGGTCGGTGGAGCACAGCATGGCGCAGAAACATCTACCCGGTCACCACAATGGCAACACAATGTCAGTCACACACGCTAACACACATGGACACGAGTGCTTTATGGTAGAAAGGAAGGGTTTACATCTTACTACGTGCCAGGCAGGCACTGCTTTACTTATGTCACCTCCTTTAACCATCTCAACAACTCTGGGAGGAAGGTGCCATGATGATCCCCCTTTTCCCGATGAGGCATCTGAGGCACAGAGAAGTTAGGCAACTTGCTTAAGGTCACACAGCTAGTACTACCTGCCAAAGCAGGTCTATAGGTTTCATTCATTTGTCTGTTCCCCTCAGATCCCCAAAGACAGCACGATCAGCCACCACCAGCAACCCTTCCAAGTTCACTGCGAAGTTCGGAGAGTCAGAGAAGTGCCCTCGATGTGGAAAGTCAGTCTATGCTGCGGAGAAGGTGATGGGAGGTGGCAAGGTAAGGACCTCTACGTGAGCCAGGCGGGAGTTGCTTATCTCCACCAGGTCGGCTGGGAGAGGTGAGAGAAGGAAGTAGGGACTGGGAGTGGGAGCCAGAGCCTTCGTTCTCATTAGCTCCGAGGGATCACTTTAGGAGCCACCCATCCTCACCCAGTTTCCCAGGCTGTGACTGTTGCCTCAGAGTCCTTGGAAACTAGAACTGGTGAATTTGAGCAACAAGCACTAGCCCACTAGCTAATCGGAAGCCCATTAGGCATCCGGTAAAAGCCCTGGAGATAAAGATGCACAAGGCCGCTGACCTGCAGAGTCCGCAGTCCTTTCAGAAAGGCGTCAACCCTGAGAGCCTTCCAGAAAGGTGTCACCACTGCATAACTCAGTCTGCTGCTGGCATCCCCACCGACGGGTAGAGCAAACACCTCGAAGCAGCCAGGAGCAGCTCACAGTGTCCTGGCAATGGGGAGAGTCCTCAAACGACTGTGACAGTAATGGGCAGGTGCTCCACAAGCCCCCTTCTCAGGCCCGAAGCCAGGGTATTCACCACAGGATGTGGGTCTGACGAAAAGAAAAAAAATCCTGCTTATACTGAATAAGGGGCAGAGGGCCATGGCAAGTGGGACCGACCTCAAATATCAGGACGGCGTCCACCCCAGGACACATGAGAGCCCCTGGACCGTGCCTGGTAGATGGGCAGATGTGTGGGAGGCAGGCGATCCTCCGGATGGTCCCAGCCACGCACTCTTTTCTACCAGAAATACGGAGCTAAAATGAGGGTGAGCTAATTGCATAACTGCCCCATTCACTTTTTTCTTCTTTAACTATGTATTCAACATGTTCCCCACTGTCCCAAGTCCAAGTTCCCCTCTCCAGTTCATTCCTTGGTTTTCTACTCTGTTCTGAAGGAATACATATGGAAATCACATCACTCAGTTTATTTCTAGGGGTTCTGAGAATTGTTGGCCAAGTCCACAGTATCTTATTTTCTTCAGCTCCCTGGAGGAATTATTCTGGGAGCCAATTAACACGCCTTTATATGTGGCTGGTCAGGGCAGTGACCATGAAAACAGAGCATGCTGCTGCCCACCACACTGTGTAACTCTCCTGTTCTCCTGTGCTCTCAGCCTTGGCACAAGACCTGTTTTCGCTGCGCCATCTGTGGGAAGAGTCTAGAGTCCACCAACGTCACTGACAAAGATGGGGAACTCTATTGCAAAGGTGAGCGGTTCCGGAGACTCTCTGGAGATGCTGTTTCCTGAGGAGGGTCCTTAGGAGAAGCTGTGTCCATGTGGACAGGCCTGCGCCTGCCAGGAGGCACGGCTGCTCAGTTGAGCATGGTCTGGGCTCTCAGGATGGGGCGCAAAACCACCTTAGGAAAAGAAAGTCCCTGCCTGACCCTGCTCTGGGCTTCTCCGCTGGAGCATGTCGGGGAACGATGTTTGCAAATGCTCAGTGGTTCAGGGCAGCTGGGTGCCTCATGGGGAAAGAAGATGAGGAGGAAGCAGTCTGATTCTGCTCTGGAAGAGATCATAGGCCTGGACAAACAACATCACATCTTCCTCTGAAAACCCGAAAGGCCTCTGTCTGCCTGAGTGGCAGCTAGGGGTGACTGGGGAGGATGAACTCAGCCTGGCCCCTCTAGTTCAAGACATATATCCCTCCTCCCCTTCCCCCTCCACTGCTCTCTCCCTCTTTTCTTCCTGACGTTACCGTTACTGATGTTGCACACCCTTTACTAATAGAGATAGAATCAACAAGTGGGTCTTCCTCCTGGTCCTCCCAGCCCTGCCCTAGCTGCCTCCATGATCCCTTCATTTCGTGGGGAGGTAGCAGAGCCATAGCGCTTTCCTGATGCTACAAAAGGAAGGGGGTGATGCAGCCTCAACCCCAGAGCCTCTCCTAGGCCTATTGTTTCTCAGCGGGTGGGGGGGGTCCCCCGCCCTCTCACTTAATGGTGATGCCTCAAGATCTCCAGGTGGGATGAGAGGAACACTGAGCGGGGCCAGAGGGAGGGGGGACATTCCTCACCAAGACTGGAGGTTGCCAAAACTTTTCCCGTGATGAGTGATACACGGGGGTTGCCTTCTCCTGGCAGTAGAAAACGCAAGACTGTCCTTAGCACTCAGAGGCCAAAAACACCTAAAATGTTTCTGTAAGCAGCAGGGAGAGCAACATTAGACCAATCATTGCTTGTCCAAGTGAAAAAGCCCTAGCAGCAGACTATACATGATGCAGTAGCGTACGAAGAGGCAAGTGACCAGCGCGGGGTGTTAGGGAAGACTTCCTAGAGGACAAGCTTCCCCTGGACCTTGAAGAATGAATGGGGGTTGGGGAGGGGGCATTCCGGGAACAGGAAGCAGAGGGTGCAAAGGCCCGAAGGTGGGGGCATCCCACTATGTGCCCGGAGAGGCGGGGGGCAGGCAAGGCTGGGCAGGAGCCAGATGATGTCGACTCAAATGAGGAAATGTCAGTGAACACAGTGAGGCGCAAAGAACTCTACAGTGGTACCTTGGTACGTGTTGTTAACTCATTCCAGAACTCCGAGTGCCAAAACCGATGAGTGCCAAATGATGGAGCCTTTTCCCTTGCGGGCAGCACAGTGACTCATACGAGTTATAGCCAGTTGTGAGGAGTCCCAAGTGAGTGCCTCGTGCTGAAACATGTTTTTTTTTTTCTGTCAAAATGCACCGAGTACAGGGTTTGACAAATTTTGAAGCCCACAAGTACCGAGGTATGACTGTAAACTACTTTTACGCTAAAATGAAGTGTTCCAATTACTTACAAATTATCTTATAAATACATTCATCAAAAGGATGCATCTCAAGGTGAAGGAACTGTATCGACAGAAGGGACTGAAATAATGGTGCTAACCAACCCATTCTCTCTCCTCTCTCCTGTTTTCTTTCACAGTCTGCTATGCCAAAAACTTTGGCCCTACAGGCATTGGGTTTGGAGGCCTCACACAGCAAACGGAGAAGAAAGAGTGAACAGTGCGTCCGTTCTCAGGTCTTTCGTCAGCCTGAGACATTTTCCACGTGACCCTGACCCATGGACACCTGTCCCCAGGCATCTTCTTGTTGGTAGCTGGACAGTATTTCTCTTCAGAAGTGATCACAGTCCTTCTAACCCAAGGTTGGAAGAGATCTTTGGAAGAAAATTATTAAGAGTTTAATCTGTAACAAGTGTTTTATTATTGATGATACCGGGGACGGGAGAGGCAATAAACGCTTTATCAGTACCTTGAATGCCTGGAGTTTTTCTTTCAAACAGAGGAAAGTTTTCAAAAATGGAAACATAGTTTGAAAAACTTGCTGCAAAGAATATAAGACATTTTGGTGTCAAGCGGGGAAGGAATGAGGACATGGGAACAAAGGAAAGCAATCTTCCCAAATCCGTCGGCTGAGCAGACAGAAAAACGGGGGTCCGGGTGGAAACAGACAACATGATAGCACATTCAAGAAGGAAAATCGAAACGAAGAAAACTGCTGAGGAGTGGATCCTTTTGTCCCTCTACAGGCTTTGCAACGCGACGCATCCTGTGGAAATTCAGAAAAGGCACTGAAGTGTGGCGTTGACTCGTGTCGCCAATGATAAGAGGATGATTTTCTTTTATTCTGGAACAATTCCCGAGGGTTCAGCAATTTTCTGAAAACTTCCCTTACATCCCATTGCCAGGCTGGCAAATGAAAAGCAGCCAATTAAGAACGTCTGTCCAGCTTCCACTTTAAACACCACAGCTTTTTCCCCACCATCATGCAATTCTGAATTATTTGAAGTAAATAGAAAACAAAGGGAAAGTTATTGTTTAAAAACCATGAAGCACTCCACAAAACCCCAGGCTTTTCGAGGCTCCAAGCCCCGAGCACCCTTTCTTTCAAATGGGCATTTACTCAGGGCTCTTCCAGGCCGTCGTGGTCAAGGCCCTGCACCGATTTTATTAGTTATTTATTTATTTTTTGATATTCCAAATGCAGTTGCGCCTGATCATTTTTTTTCTCTTGGATTGGCTTTAACAGATTGGTTCAGAGAGAAAAAGAACAGCTAGCAAAGGCTGTGTCCCATCCCACTTTCAAAGGGGAAATGCAGATGTGAGCTTTACTTACCGAGACTTGCACCGGGTGACTTAGCCGCTGGGCTCCGCCGGAGCAGCCGGAGGGTGTACATTTTACATTCTCTGGGGATGGAAGCATAGGGCAATGTATTTTTAATTTGTGCACTTGTTAGTTTTTTTTTTTTAATCAGAGTGGTATAAGAGATCCCATCATTGTCAATTGAATAATTAATACCAGGGATCAACTGAACCAACTAAATCTAGTCCCCTTCAACCTGCACCGACTTCGAAAGCAACATACAACCCTGGTTCTTTGGGAAGAAGTCCCTACACTGGAGACTTCCAGGCTTGCAAAGGGGTAAGGCGCATGTGGGATGGGACTGCCAGACGATGCCGCCTTCTCCTCTGCCACCACACGTCAGTGACTAGCCCCACCAGCCGTCCACCCAGGGGACCGAAGCTAGAACCTGCAGTCATCCTTAGCTTTGCCCTCTCCCTCACCCCTCCCGGCCTCACTCCCTGAGCCTCCCTGATTCTGACTCCGCAGTGTCTCTAGAACACATCCTCTCTGTTCTTATTCTTTGGTATGTACTCTACACTCCCCTGCTAGGGCTTCCATAACGAAGTACAGGGATTGGATATCTCACACGACAGAAATGACGTTTTTGCAGTTTCGGCAGCCAGAAGTCTGAGCTCAAGGTGGCGGCAGAGCTGGTTTCTTCTGAGGCCTCTCTCCTTGGAGTGTGGTTGACTGCCTTCTCCCGGAGTCTTCCTGTAGTCTTCTCTGTGTGTCTGTGTGTCCTAATAGTGTTTTCTTCTAAGGACACCAGTCATGTTGGATTAGGGAGCACTCGAATGACCTTATTCTAATCTAATCATTTCTGTAAAGACCCTATCTCCAAACAGTCACATTCTGAGGTCCTAGGAGTTAGGACTTCAACATATAAATTGGGGGGGATACATAACAGCCCATAACAGCATGTCCTATAAGGACCTTCATGAATTGGACTTGAACTTATCCCTTCAACCGAGTTTTAGACAATCTCTTCCATATAAGCTCCACCTACACTTGAAGCTTTCCAAATATGCCAAGTGCCCTCATGCCGTTGCTTTGCCGCTGCTATTCTTTTTGCCTGGAAATGTCTGGAAGATGGAACCCCTCCATCCTGACCCTCTCACCTAGCTCCTTAGCCTGGCGAACTCGAGTCACAGGTCCAAACGGCATTTCCTCTGCAAAATCTTTGCTGAACTGCCTGAGAATTAATCCACGGCTGCGTTCCCACAGCCAGGGTAGAACACGGCACTCGTTGCATTGAGATTTTGAATTCCCACCTGCCTGCCACCTTGTTAGAATGTGGCACACTTGCCTTCACAGTGCTCAACAAATAGCAGGCACTTAACCAACCTTTGTTGAGGGAGTGAAGTGGAAGAGAGTGTCGGCAGGACTAAATGCAAATTCTGCACGGATTTCAAAGAAAAGTCTATTATCTAGGGGAGTGAAGGAGCATGGGGAGGAAAAAACAAAACAAAGAAAGAACCTTAATGCGGTCCTGCAGTCTTCATGTTTCTCCTCTGCCTCAGGGGCACGGCTCCAACCACGTCTCCCACGCTCCCCGCCACAGACCGGGACGCGGGACTCAGTCAGCCAACGGAGGTCGTCCCTCCAAGTCCTCTGGGAGAGTCTCCGTTCTCTCCATGTCAGTGAATGTAGCGGGCCCAGGGGACCCCGAGGCCCTAGGAAATGGCGGAGCCACCGGGTTTGAAAGGAGCTTGGGGCCCTGCATGGAAGAACACCTGCTAACAGCGAGATGGACTGACACAAGAGGAGAAACATGCCTCGCGCTGTGTGAAGCCACTGAGATTTAGGGGATGTGTAGCACAGCGCTAGCTCCTGGGCCAACACTCACCTGAAACACTGGATGTGTTACGGCTGAGATATTCCACTTCTCACTGTTTGGTGCCCGTCCATTTGGTCCAGTCCATTTACATCAAAATTTTGTAAAAATGATTCAGTTGTCTCATGTCTTAGGTGACTATACAGATATTTGAGGAAAGACATTAAGTCACAGCAAGAGAGCCTAATAGTCGCATTCCTCTGGGCCTGAATAACGTGACTGGGTTTGTCTTAGCTTTAAAACAGGACAGAAACAACATCTCTATTCATCCTCAAGGTGTGGCCTTCTCTCCTTTCAGAGCCAAACTGTATGCAAGACTAGAATCCATTTACCCCTTAGTATCTCAGCATCTGGCTTCTGATTGCCTTCCTCGCTGCCACCCCACCCCACCCCACCCCCTAAATCATAAGCCCCCCGTCTTGCTTCAGTTGTTTTTCTCACTTCTCCTTCGCTCCTGACCACTGACTGCTTCCTCTTTGACATGAATTCTTCTTCTTGAATCCCAGCACTGTAATTTCTTGATTATCCTCTTACCCAACCTCCTCCCAGTCCTCTCCTCCTCCCTCTCCATATTTCTTAAATCCATATTCCATAAGCTCACATGCCTCTCTTTTCCTCTCTCTCACACTTTTCTTTAATCCTCCCCTGAGGATGTCGGTTTTTATTGATTTTAGAGAGAAAGGGAGAGGAACATAGATGTGAGCAACACTGATGGATTGCCTTCCGTTCACACCCCGACCAGGGATCAAACCCGAAACCTAGGCATGTGCCCTGACTAGGAATCAAACCCATAAACTCTTGGTACACGGGACAACTTTCCAACCAACTGCGCTGCCCGGCCAGGGCTCACACTTTGTTCTGTTTTCACCAACTGTTGCCTTTGGTCTCTTTCGAAGTGATGTTTTCATTTCAGGAAGGAAGCTCCCCTTTGATTTTCATCTCATTTTTTTTTACCTCTCTCCTGCGATGATCTCATCCACCTGTGCAGGTGCCTCTGCGCTCTTTCCAGCTGCGTCCTCGACTTTTCCACTGTATATCTTACGAGTACCTCGAACAATAGGCCCCAACCACCAAACTCATCACTAGCCTCGCCACTGTTTTCCTTCCTTCTCTCCCTCACTGCGCTCAGCACCTCAAAGTCATCTTTGATTCCTCCTCCTCCTCCTCTTCCCCCACACTCGGCCGGTGATCTGGGCCTGCCAGATCGCACTTTGGTCTTCACTACTTCTTGCCTAGCCCATTATTAAAAGTTTATCTCTAACACCCTCTATCTGTCAGGGCCCAGTCAGAAAAACAGAAACCACATGAATTTTTTTTTTACATAAACAAAATAATAGAGGGAGTTGGCCAAACAGCTGCTAATATTTCTGGAAATGTAAAGAACACTCTGACTTAACACAGAGATAAAGCAGGAAGCAGCTACCACCGCTGGGGCAGGGAGAGACCAGATGGGGGTACCCTAACTTGGATGCCTGACTCGAGGTCCCCCTGGGACTAGGAATCAGACCTCTGAGGAAAAAGCCTTGCCTGGTTACTGCTGGTGCTTCTAAGGTGCAAAATGGAGCTGCTCTGGGGCAAACACTAGGCACTGATTCCAAATGTCACTGTCAGGGTGAGGGGCCACTGAGAGCAATAGCTACCAAGGACCAAGGAGTAACTTCCTCCTCCCCTCTTTCTTCCTTCCGGTCTACTGGCGGAAGGTCGTAGAAAGTCAGCTGGCAAGGAGACAGTTTTCAGAATCCTGGCCCCAGAACACACAATGCAGAAGATGAAAGGGTGAATTTGGCACATTCCCCTACCATTAGTTTCTCTCTCTCGTTTTCCAAAGATTTGAATAATCAACATTTATTAAATTCTTACTCTGTGCCAGTTACCATTCTAAGTACTGTATATATATTAACACTTTTAATCCTCTTAACAACATTTTGAGGTCTATACCATTATTATCCCCATAATACAAATGAGGAAACTGAGGCACCAGGAAGTCAAGTCATTTGCCCAAAGAGTAAAAGTACCTTGTAAGTGGTAGATACAGAATTCAAACTCAAGGTGTCTAAGCTATAAAACACTGATTCTCAAACTGTTTTTTTAAACTTTACACTGTGTACCTTTGAGAAAAGCCAAAAATAGAATGGTAGAGGTAAGATTTCCTAGGCAAAAATGATTCCCAAACCATAGCATGTACACATAAGAATTACGTGGGGAACCTGAAGGCAATGTGGATTCCAGAATTCACTCCTCAGACACTGATCTGGAAGGTCTGGGATGAGGAATTCAAACTTGAAGCACACGATCCTGGACTCCTGGATGCCACCCCGCATGCCCCACCCCACCCTGGCCTGCGATTCTAATGTAAACTGTCTACAGACCACAAGTGGAGAGCTTGGTAGGGGTTGGTGAGAGAGGAGGAGAAAATGTAACTTGAAAAATCCATCTGACCCTCTCCCAGCAGAGAATCAGTCTTCAAATACAACTCTGATCACATTACGTTCTACTTTAAAAGCCTTCAATTCATTCCACATTAACTCAAATATATCTCGAACACATACTAAGTGCTAGGCAATATTCTAGGTCTTGGGATACACCAGTGAATGAAACGAAGCTCCCTTGTGGACCTTATAGTCTAAGGGTTGGACAGGAAGACAGCATACAGTAGACATAACATATTATACAATGTTAGAAGGTGGTAAGTGCTATAGGAAAAAAAAATAAAGAGAAGAGTCCAAGAGGCGGACATTACAAATTATAAAATGTTAGTGAGCACAGGCCTCTTTGAAAAACTGACATGTAAAATATGCTGGGAAGCAAGGCACTGGCCCCTATGGATATGGGGCCGGGATTCCAGGCACAGAGAACAGGCAGGCAGAGGCCTGAGGCAAAAGCATGCCTGGCAGGTGTGTGGGGTCAACATGGGGCTGCAGGAGTAGCAGCCAGAGCCCATAGGGCCCTGTCAGCTGCGGTCAGGGCTTTGGCTCCTCTTTGGGTAAAACAAGGAGCCAGCGGAAGAAGGTTCCACGCTGAGGAGTGACGTGATTCAACTTGTCTTTTGCAAGGATCACTTGGACTCCTTAGAGCCCAGTAAGGCTGGAGGGAGACAAAACAAGAAAACTGTGGTAAGTCGCAGACCAGAGGTGATGGGAGCTGGCACCCATAGCGGTGAAGGGGGCCCAAAGCCTGCAATGCTGGGTATATTCTAGAGAGAGCCAGGGTTTCTTACAGAAGTGAATCTTGGGTATTATGAGACAGAGGGCGATTCAGGAAAAGACACTAAGGTTTTGGCCTGAGTAAATGAAAGGATGGCGCTTCTGATCAAGATATGAAGAAGACTGAGGGTCAGGAACAGAGTTGTTCACTTTTCATTTATTTTAGAATGTATTAGATGTTTCCATCTATTTTTAAAATCTATATGTGTGTGGTAGGGGGAGAAGATAGGGTAAACTCAGAAGTGCAGCTTCAATTCTGGACATGTTAAGTCTAAGCTACATATTAGACATCTAAATGAGGAAGGAAAGGAGGAAGGCCAGAGCTGGAAAAAGTCCTTCTGTCCCCCAGCTGAGATTCGGTCTCCAAACCCCATTCTGGTCGGATCACGTCCTGCACTGATTCAACACATTCACGCAGTTATTGAGCACATAGGTGCCAGGCAGTATTCTAGGGGATCGGGACTCTGGAGTGACGCTCGCCCCACTCTGCAGGTACGTGACCTTGGAGAAGGCACAGACTTCTTCAGATTCTCATCTGCTGAGCGTGGTTCGAGAACGACGCTGGGTCAGGGTGTGCCTGGTAAGCCAAACGAGGCTCTGTTCCTCTGGGCCTCCTAGATTTCCCCCCAAGAGCAAGGGGAACCTAAGGAAGGGTTTTCCGGCAGGAAAGGGACCTGCCCAAGGGCATGAGTATATACCTCTCTGAGAGTCGAAGTTCAATTAGCATTTCCTCCAGAATAAATTGGCAATTATAATCACAACAGTCTAATATTTAGGGGGGTACTAGGTAAAAATAATAATTAACCTTTAAGAATTATGTTCAATTTTCTCAGTAAGATGGAAAACTAAATTAAATTCTGCTTATTGTTCTTAGCAGCGCTTTCAACTCAGGACTGGAATCCTGGGTCAGTTTGTCTTGCATATACACCTTTCCTCAATTTAACATTCTAAAAGTGTTAAGTCTCAGAAACTACACAACTACAAAAAAAATTTTATTAAGTGTGAAAGCAAAACAGTATTATCTATTTAAATATTTTTACACATTTATAGATAAAACAAAGACAAATAATTTATCAAAAATTACAAGTTGAAAGAACAGTACTATTTTGAAACAGCCAATAAAGTATCTGAAAATACCACATTTTATCCATAATTAGTGAATATTATTACCCCTGCCCCCCAAAGTAACTTGCATCTGCAAAAAAATATAAAAATTTTTTTTAGATGTTTGCCAAGACTGCTCTGGCTAAATCTAAAAAAGTATAATGCCTTTATCAAGAACTGTTTTCACCAAATGACTTTAAAAACCACCTGTGTTTTCCTTTGGGCTTAGGTGAACTCTGTATCTTCATTTTTACACCAGGGCGTGAACGCAAACACAAACCAATTGGAGAGCGTGGAGTTGCTTTGCTTCACACGGAGCGAAGCACTTTCTCCTTGGCCGGGTGGAAGACCATGGTGTACTGGGCCGTCCAGTCCACAGTGGAGGGCTTCACCAAGCCAAAGCAGCCACACTGGAAGAAATCCGCGAGGTTCCGTGTGAAGCCCAGGCTGCCGAGACAGGAAGAGGACACGTCTCAATACATTTCCTCCGGAGCCCTTGACAAACGCGCACTCACACCAGAAACATTCACTGAGATTCTACAATGTGCAATGCCCTTTGAAGACCCTACAGGAATCCAGAGGTGAATCAGTTCCTGGGCTTATGGGACCTTAACAATAAAGCCCAGTGCCACTTCTGGAACTTCAAATCCCTAATTTGGAGAGTCTCTGGCTTTTGCCCAGCAACTAAGTAACTTCATTTTGGCCCTTGCACTCACTGGCATGGTCAATGCCATCAATCAGTTTCTTTCCTTCCATCCCCACTGCCCCTACTCAGACTTTATCTCAAAGGCCAGATAGGCCAGAAAAAAATACAGTGAACAAGTTTTTTCCTAAACCTTCTATGCAGCTCTCTGAATGATGCCCATCTCAGTTCCTTCCAATTCATCTTATACACTGGAAATTGTCTTGCCCTCCAAAACTCTGATGTGTTCATAGCCCTTTACCTCCCAACCAAAAGCCTTTAAAGACACCCCTCTTCCCAAAAGCTCAACTGCAATTCTTCATCTTTGTATTTCGGGCCCCACCTGTTGGGAAGTGACATGCCTGGTTTCAGAAATTGTAATCCCCTGTGGCTAAAGCTGAGTAAAGGACATTGGGACCATAAGCCACTTAGGAAACAAAGCTTATCTTCCTTGTAGGGGCACCACCTCTGCTCCCTTTCTCTTCACCCTGCTTGGCTCCAGCAGATGACTGGTTAGCCAATGACAGGTAAAATTCCTCAAGGGAGGGACAACCTAAGACAGGCATGATCATGGGGGGGGCCCAGGGAAGGACTTGGGGGACTATAGCAAAAGGGGGTGATGGACCAGAGCTCTCCCCTCAGCTTTGACATAGTCTGAGTCCTCATTCTGTCTGCAAGAAGTCTCCTAAGCTCTTGGCTGCCTTACTTCCCCTGCCTGACTTAAGCCTGAAATAATGCTGGAGGTGGGTGTGGCCCAGTGCTGAAAAGGGCAGGTTCCCCTGGGTGAACAGGCCTAAGAAAGAATGCATAAAATCCTATGGAAACCTACTTTGCTAATACCCTCAATTTAAATGATAAGGGTCCAAGCCTGAAATGAGTTAGTTCCCCAAAGTTTTATGGCCCTTTAACTATCTGACCCTGACTCAGAATAAGCCCTCAGAGTTCTCTGAATGTCATCTATTGTTTAATCATTTCTGCCTGACAACGATTGATGAGCTTTATGTATATACCCTGTATTCCAGTGCAAACTGAACCCAGTAAAAGCCTGTCAAGGCAGAGGGTGGGGTGCTCTCCCATTGAGGGAGTGGCTGAGGCGCTCTGAGGCTTTTTCTCCTCTTGAGGGAGGAGTTGTGCCGTCCCATTTCCTGCACAGGACTCGGTGGTCCATGGGCATTGGTCTCATCTCATCCATAATGGTGCGGACCCCAGGAGGTGGGGTCCGCATCACCCACCTACATGATGAAGCCCCCCAGGTTCCCCAGGTGTCAGTTCCCGAAGCTCTACAAACCTGCTCCTGCAGCTACTCGGGCCCTGGTTCTCCCACCCCGGAACCCTCATGCCACCACCTTCCCGCAGCTAACCCCTCACCCTTTCGAGTCCTGCCAGTGCTCAAGGCCGGCGCCGAGGCGCACTTCCCCTTTGGTGCCTTTCTGCCCACAGCTGTCTTCACCATCACTTTTTCTCCATTAGTGGCCAAACACTACCTACCCCAGTTGTGAGGAACATGGGTTTTGTGCATATGCCCTGTCTTTCAAGCCTCAGCCGACCCCCTGTACACACTGAAACGCAGCTGTGCATAAGGAGGACTGTGCTCTGCTGCTGTTCAGTGACAGGACAGGGGTCGGGAAAGTCCCACTGCCACTCAGAAGGCAGTTTCCTCAGAAGAGGGCTGACTACACGGAATGAATGGGTGGGAGTAGAGAGACAAGCCGGGAATTTTGAGGGCCCAGTCAATACCTGAAAGTCACTTAGGGGACGACAGACAAGGCAGAACTTTGGTTTGGAAAGGATCTGGAAGCTACACTCAAAATGGCTCATAGGCCTTACCATTAGTTAGTTCCTCCAGCTTAGGCTGCCACTACTCAGCTGTTCCCAAACCCACCCAGCTCTCACTTCTGTCCCTTTGTGAGACTCTTCTCCAGGGCATGGCATGCCCTTTCTTTGATCTCCACCATGCCTGTCCCACAACTCTCAAGGGTCAGCTTATAATTCCACCCGTACCACAAAGAACTCCACACTTCAGTAACTATGTATTCCTCTGGTTAAGACATTGAGAAAGGGGCCTCATTATTATCTCTGCCAGTCTGAAACAGTTGTCACAAGCTTAATAATACTCTCCACTCTCCATCACTTTGGCCACCACTTCCCAATTAGGTCATTTTCTTTCCTCTTTAAGCACACATCAGAGTCACATCCCAGTCTCTGATTTCCTGTCTAACAACCTAACAGTTTCATCTTGTACCACAAATGTGCTTTAAAATAGACTGCTCACGAGATATGCAGCAAGCGCTCAAATCTGCAGAGGATTCTGGGTCACCTCCGCAGCACTCCCAGCCTCCAAGACCCCGGTATATGTGACAGGGAGATAAGCTTCAAAGCCTGATTGTTCACATCATAAGATGATGACCTTCTACAAAAACTCTCATTTTCAACTGAAGACAGGTTTTATACAACCAGTGCTCTAGAAAGAACATATCCCAAACTTGAGAAACCAGCTTGGGACACAGGTGGGCACAGTAAATAGGGCTAAAATAATTACTGGTGACAGAAAGCCAGGTTGAAATCTTGGCAAAGCTCACAAGCTAATGCCTTCTGCAGAGAGCCTGTGGCTGGCCCTCTCAGCCACATGCTTAACTATCTCACACTGACTTCATGCCAGCAATGCGCAACCTTGTGACCATGTAGCTTGACTGGAGAGATTCCCCATCTTGGCAAAACGTCAAAATCACTTACCATTTGTGCTAAGTCCAATAGACTAAATCCCAAATTCTTACCACCTTGGGGCTCATGACCTTACTTCTCACATCCTGTCACTGAGGCTTCCAAGAAATAACAGGGTGAGCTCTACCAGACAGCAAGTTAGAGGACAGCAGCGTGGCCGAGGGTGGTGGCACCGGCCTAGACAACCAATGGCTAGGCGAGCATCTTCCACAGGACTCAGTGGAAAGAAGAGATCTCACTTACTTGTATGGTGTCCTCCTGAGGGACAACGGCTGTTTCATGTGCCTGCTCTGCTTCAGCAGGCTGGTTCTCTCGTGGGAGGTCAGGCCCAGAAAAGCAATCTGAAAAAAGGTGGGAGCTACATCAAAAATGCCACATCAAGGCTGTATCACTCTTAGTAATGCATCATGGGACACTGGGAAACATGCACTACTGCCCCCAAAATGATGTCACCTTCTGACCAAGGACGAGGCAGGGGCAAAGATGCAGCAGCTCTAAGGAGACTCCCCCACGTAAATCTAGTAGCTGGGCAATTTTTTTTGTCTTATTTTATTAACCTTCAAGATAGCAGTGTATTGACTTAATAAATTATAAAATAATTGCTTTAGCAATTCAAACCATGGCTTATGGCTATGTTTAGATTCTCGATAAATTCAGCATGCAACTATTAGAAAAATAAAATAACATAAGGTACGTTCAATTATCTCAATTTGTGTATTTATCTTGGTAGCTCTTTGAAAACAACCAAGTAAAAACGTTAATAATCTGAAGTACAGAACATTTAAATCCATATATTTGGGGGAAGGTAAGCATCAAGGTAACTTAAAAACTCCCAGATCATTAAAAACACTACCACTTACTGAGTCATCTCATTTAATCCTCAAAGCAACATAAACAGCAAGTTCCTTATCTTTAAAACAGAGATTATAATCTTTATTAGATTAGATCTCAAGGATAAGATCACACATTCAAAATACCTAGTGCAGAGGGGGGGTGACTGGTCCGAGGCCACACAGCTGAGAAAGTGGCAGAGCTGTGACCACAGCTCAGTGTGATTGGCCACATCAAATCCATGATGCACCAGGGCACTCAGGAAATGAGTGGCTAAATTGTTTTGTTATTAAGGAAACAACTTTGCTCTAAATCTCTGTATTTGAAAACTATCCAAAACTGTGAGTCCATTTTCCTGCCTTAAAAATATATAAACAAATTATGAACCTTTCTTTTAAAAATTAAGAATTTTATAGTATCATATATACTTGCACTTGTTCCAAGAGTCCAGAAAGGAAGGAAGAGACTAGGAATTGATGTCTCAAGTCTTAGGTTCTACATCTATCTCCTCTTACTGGCGCTATGGCCACAAGCAAGGCACCCAAAGTCTCCTAGGCTGTTTCCTCATCCTTAAAACAGAGGAGATAATACTTTGGCACAGTCTACATCTCAAATGGTTGTGCAGAAACAAATGGCAGTGCTTTGGAATATGTAAAGCATATATAAGTATTAGGTATTATAAATGACAGTAATTACTACTAATAAGCACTGATGTTAATAGCCATTCTCACTGCCCAAGTCTGTAGATACCAGAGGGATAGGAATTTAGGTGGAATGTTCAGAAACCTGAGTTCTGTCTGTATTATTAGCTTAACGCCTTTCCTGAGCATTTTTCTTTTTTTAAGGGACTATGGGATATTTTTCCTTTTAAAAAATGCATCATTATTATTGTAGAATTGGTTACTCCCCCACAAAAGTGGAGTACATTTACTGAGCAACACCCTAACTATCTGAGGCCTTGCAGGAGGTGGCGCAGACCGACCATGGCTCTGCTCCACACAGGCAGGCCACAGCACCCATGAGAATTAGGTTCAGCTCACAGGGGATGGCGGGCAGCAGGGAAGGGGTGGAAACATCATAGAAAGCTGAACGTGACTACCACCCTGGAGCTTGAAGTTTCTAATGGCCATGACCTTCTCTGAGAGTGCAATTACCATACCCACTGGTTAGTGATGTGGTTTCCATTTCTTCCCCATATCTACCCACTTAAGTACTGCATTATAGTAACAAACAAGGTTGAAAAAATTGAGGGAAGTAATCACCTCACACTTCCACAATGCTTTACAGTTTACACCATGCTTTCACACATCATATCATTTAATTGTATGATAGAAAAAGCCCTTAAATGGGACTGTTGGAAGACCTAAGTTTCATGTTCTGATCTTCCCACTCAGTGGGTGACCTTGAACAATTCAGTTCACCTCTGCACCTCTACAAGATAAACAGGTTAGATTAGATAACTCCTAGGCAACAGAATTTATTCTTTTAACCTTTAAACACTCCTGTGAGAGGAGACAGGAGTTATCATCCCCATTTTACGGACAAGGAAACAAATTCAAGAGTCAAATGACATGTCTAGACCCACAGAGGAAGTAACAGAGGTAGAACCAGAGATGAAATCTTCTGATTTAAAATTAAAGTCCTTCTACCTTAGTACAGTTATAAGAAGAGAGATAAATACCTGAAAGAGCTGATTTAATAATAAAAATGTTGCCCATGAGAAATGGAAGACTGCTAGCATGAAGATATATAAAACCCAAGGGGAACACGCCACAATCTGATTGAGGTAGGTCCACAGTCCATCTTCTCTGAACGTTGTAGCACAATGATTTGACCAATCTGTGAATACACAAAAGGAACCCATTATTTAAAAAGGCAGCAAACCACAGATCAGCATGCAGGAAGACAAAGTCCCTGCAATTCTATTTGGGGAAAAGAGAAGGGAAGACATGATGGCACAGATCAGAACCCAACTTTAAGATTTTATCAATTTTATCTGCCAAAGGCCAGCTCAACTAACAAAAATGACAAAATTGTACTTTGGACTTCTGGTCAAGATGAAGGCACAGGTAGACATGCTTCACCCCCTCGCGAAACAATGGAAAGAATTACAAGCACATCGCAAAATTAGTAGTGCCCAGAACCATCAGAAAATCCAGCTGAAGAAAAGTCTAACAACCAAGGATTCAAAGAAGCCACATTCATCCAGCCAGGTAGGAGGAGTGGAATCACGGAGACAGGTGGAGAGGCGGCAGCAGTGGTGGAATGGACAGTCCCACATCCATGTACGGTGGATAAAAACTGGGAGGGATGCCTTGGGAGCCAGCAGTCTCAGCCCCGGGCCAGACCGCACAGCCCAAGGTTCCAGCACCAGGAAAACAGATCCCTCTTATCTCTGGCTCGAAAAACTAGTGGCAGGTTACAGCGGTAGAAGGAAATGCCAGATTTTTGTTGCTTAAAGGGCCCGCATGGTCTTCGAACATATGTAAACCCACCCACTCCAGGATTCACCACCAGGGCAGCAGCTAAAAGGGCACCAGTCGAACATGGAAAGAGGGTGAAGTGACTGGAAACAGGATGAGTGCCAGGTGAACATCCGGAAGCCAGGCAGCGGCACTGATCCCTTTTCAAGCTCTCCCCACACACCATGAGGCAATGAAGCAGTGTGCCCGGCCCTGGAAAGTCCCTAAGACTCCACCACACACAATTTATAGGTGCCTTTTCTACACAGGCCACGCTACTACAAAAGGGAGTAAAAGCACCTCTACCTAATACACAGAAACAAACATAGAGAGGCTGCCAAATAGAGGAGACAAAGAAATAAGGCCCAAATGAAAGAACAGAAGAAAACTGCAGAAAAAGAACTAAACGAAATGGAGATAACTAACCTATCAGATGCAAGAGTTCAAAACACTGGTAATCAGGATGATCAGAGAATTCCTTGCGCACAGCAACAACATAAAGGAAGAAATCAAGGCTATACTAAGTGAAATAGAGAAAAACCACAGGAAACCAACAGAAAAGGAAAGGAAGCTGAGATTCAAATCAATGATTTGGAGCATGAGGAAGCGATAAACATTCAACCAGAACAGAAAAAAGAAATAAGCATTCAAAAACCAAACAACCACCACAACAAAAAAACAAGGAGAGGCTCCGGAACCCCTGAGACATCTCCAAACATGTCAACATCCAAATCATAGGGGTGCCAGAAGAAGAGGAAGAGCAAGAAACTGAAAACTTATTTGAAAACATAATGAAAGAAAACTTCCCTAATTTAGTGAAGGAAATAGACATATATAAGTCCAGGAAGCACAGAGAGTCCCAAACAAGTTGGACTCAAAGAGAACCATACCAAGACACATCATAATTAAGATGTCAAAACTTAAAGATAAAGAGAGAATCTTAAAAGCAGCAGGAGAAAAGCAGAGCATTACCTAAAGGGAGTTCCCATAAGGCTATCAGCTGATTTCTCAAAAGAAACTTTGCAGGCAAGAAGGGACTGGCAAGAAATATTCAAAGTGATGAAAAGCAAAGACCTACACCCAATACTACTCTATTCAGCAAAGCTATCATTTAGAATGGAAGGGCAGATAAAGTGCTTCCCAGACAAGGTAAAAGCTAAAGGAGTTCATCATCACCAAGGTATTATTACAGAAAATGTTAAAAGAACTTATTTTTTAAAAAAAGATCAAAATCATGAACATTAAAAATGCGACAAATTCATAACTATCAACAACTTAATCTAAATACAAACAAACAAACTAAGCAAATAACCAGAACAGGAACAGAATCATAGATATGGAGATCATTTGGAAGGTTATCAGCGGGCAAAGGAAGGGGGGAGAACGGGGGAAAAGGTACAGGGAATAAGAAGCATAGTTGGTAGGAACAAAATAGACAGGTGGATGTTAAAAAATAGCATAGGAAATGGAGAAGCCAAAGAACTTATACACATGACCCACAGATGTGAACTAAGCAGGGAGAATGCTGGAGGGAAGCGGGGTATGTGTGGAAGGGGACAAAGGAGGAAAAATTGGGAGAACTGTAATAGCATAATCAAGAAAATATAGTTAAAAAAGCATACCATACTGTTAATTAAGGCTATGATAACACTGCATGGCAGTGAAAGAATAAAAGCAAAAAAAGGTCCATAAAACCATCACTAAAATCAGCATATTCAGCATAACGTACTGGCCAGAGAAGTTAATTGTTCAAGGACTTGACAACTGAGAATAATTATATTTAATAAATATTTGTCCTGGAAAATTCTTTGTCATATCCATGTTGCAGCAAGATATGGGCCTATTACAGAACTAAATATATACCCTTATTAAGGGTTGAAATCAACATGCCATTGCTGCAGGCACAAGAAATCCTATAAGCACCTAGATACCACTGGAACACAAGCTAAGAGCACACAGTTACTGGGTGTACTTCGGCACTGGCACCATAATTTATTCTGCAGCGGGAGAAAGGCCAGGTGAGGAAACTCACGAGAAAGACACCCCCAGGAAAAGAATACAAAGCGAGATTCAGGTGGTTACAGCTCAGTTTTTTCTCCCCAGGAGAACCTATTTGTGTGCCAGTTAAAAAAGAGGACTTCACTATGGCCTCCATGATGTTGACCTCTAACCCATGTAGCTAACTAAGAGCAGCAGTAAGGTGAACATAGGTAGGAAGCAGGAGAAACGAGGGAACAGACCTTCAAGGTTATATAAAGCCAATGACTTTTATAGGTGCCATGACTGTTCCTAAAGGGCAAATTGGTTTTGAAAGGAGAACTCTGCAGATTTGTGCCTGGAGGTTTCATAAATGTCTCTGACAAGCTCATAAGTAATTTTAGACTTTTTTCCCAAAGCAGTACTTAACAGTTCTTGAGACTGGAAGAAAGTGAGTCCATGTCTTTGCTATCAACTTCTGTCCATTGTTGTCCCAAATATCTGTTTCTCTGAGTGCCACTTAATTCCCAGCTATCTTTCATGAATATATGCCAGAGCATTCTAATAGCAATCATCACCGAGTAGCAATCAAGGTAACAAAGCAGATTACACTCTTTAGAGCTTCTCATCAGTTAAAGAAAGGCACATTCCATGCACCTGGTACAACATGAAAGATCATAATTTCCAACAGCAGGCAGAGAAAACAGCTGAGTGGGAAATAATATCTACTTTCTTTCACCTTATGGGTTTCAACTATTCTCTTCTGGAAATTTTGCTGATAACACAGCATAACCTCAGACTGAAGTTTCCATAGAACTGATTTCAGATTTAATATCAAAGATATGGCCATAAGTGGCCATATGAATTATCTCATGTAATACAATACTTTAATATATACTAATACATTCTTAACAGGTGGTCACTGGCTAATGACAAGGAAGTCATATTGTTCCAATCAATGGCTTTCACCTTTACATAGCTTCGGAAGTCACAATGCTTTCTAGCAATGACCTAAGACCTTCCTGCCTGTAACTTGTATGACGCTGACACTTTTGGTTACTTCCTCTCCACCCTGAAAACAGACCTCACAGGATGAAACGGATGGTGAATGCAGGGAGCCAGAGGCAGCTGCAACTGGACTATGCGAGGGGGAGGGTGCACAGCGGGGGTGTTAATGGTTAAACAAAGAAGGTGGTATGAAGTGAGGACTCATTAGAAAAATGGAGTGCTTAAAGTTCATCTTTCCTTTGTGTGAAATAATGATAAATGACCCAATGTCCTCATTCACTGCAAAAAAAAAATGTTATCAAAATATAAATGGGATAAAAGTAACCAAAAATGTTCAGCTTTCCTACACAGTTGTAAATGCATGTACAGGTGGGACTGTTACTAAGAAACAAAATGTAATACACAAATTGGTTCAGAGCCAGAGAATAAAGACAAAGAGGAGGGAGGAACCAATGCATGTAATAAGAAAGCAACTTGGAAAGAATGAACGTGATGGAAAATCACTTCTGTCCTTATCAATATGGTCTTATGCTGGACAGAGGCACCAGACAAAGGGGACTATTTTTAGAGGAGAGAGAGAAGGGGGAGCAACAAGAGTGGTGTAAAATCTGGCTCCTTTTCCCCAGGATCAAGTCCAAGGCACAAGCTGGTCCACGGGCCAGCTTAAAAAGGTTTTCCAGGAATATGCTTTAATGTCAGGCCTTCAAAGGGCAGCTCTTGCAACAGAAAGAAGCACTGTCAAAAAACCTTTTTCTTTCTTTCACCGCAGGACCTAATAGTAGCTTTTAAATCCCAATGCTCACGATTACTGATGGCCTTTGACAAGAACTAAGATCAGGGAACACAAACTTCTGACTATGAGATCATTTGAGAGGGTGACAGTTATATTGAGCCACGAAAGCATTCCCTAGGGATCGACGCCTGAGGTATGGGCGGGAAAGGGGCTGGCAAGGTAACCAAGCCCTCTCCATGCCTGCAGCAGGGCAAAAAAGAAACCACTTCACACAGGTATTAACAAGCTCTGAATATGAAGCCCCAAACCAAACAAACTTATAATTCTGGATATTTCTGGGGAGGGAAGCTGGGAAGCTGAGGAACAGTGTAGAAGGAATTATCTTTCAAAAACTAAAGAATTTAAACTAAAGAAAAATTTAAACTAAAGAAAGCCAAGAAGGCGGCATGGGGAGATAGGGAGGGGTAAGATTTGGGATGATAAAGGAAAAAGGAAAAAAAGGTAAGAAAACCCTTTCCTAACATCTTCCTGAATCATTCCCAATTTTTTGTTCAAGCAACAAATTAGTATTTAACTGGCAAAATACAAGACCTGAGCATGAATTTAACAGAAGGGGGGATGGAAACAGATCAGCCATGAAGCTTCTAGAGCCAAAGTCTCCCAAAGCTTTCAAAATAAATAAATAAATAGTGAATAGTTAAACAAAGTCAAAGTAAACTACAAGCACTGTAGGGTTTTCCAGGTAGGTAACCTACCCAAGGTCAGAAAAGCACAGTCCTGCAGTTCTCAGGAGCTACCGAAATCCTTCTTGCTTCCATTAAAACCCTCCTCTTTGTCACTCGCCTTGGAACCCTTGGATATCACTCCCTGAGACCCCTAGAGGCCGCCTTTATACTGTTACTAAAAAGTGATTTTCTTGGGGATGCAGAATAAGTGATCTAATATTTTCTTCCACATTATTATTTCCAACCTTTTAATGACAGTTACAGTTTTTTCCATCAGTTATAAGTTGTGACCTGAGATCTGTCAAAGAACATGTACTTTCAGTTTTGTTCCTTAATTACTGTGACCACCTTCCAACCCCACCCCCAACCTCTCTACCACCAGCCTCCCCACCACCTGTCTTATCTACTTACCACTTCCCTTGCTGTGTACCTGAGCAGCTGAGTTTTCTTCCTTTCACTGGGGCATAAATCCGCACTTGCCTTAAGTTAATTTGCATATTTGACCACTTTCCTAATCTACCCAGGCCATTTTAGAGTAAAATTTCTTCAAAGGTACTGACAACTAACATCCTCTAGCATTTCCTGCAGCTGTCCAATGCCCAGAGTTCGCAGGTTTCCATTTGGTTTGTGTGCAGGGTACAGGTTACAGTCACCCAGCCAGAATGTGACACACAAGCACTTACAAGGGAAAGCGTATGTGCGTGTGGGTGCATGAGCCTGCTGTAAGAAAAATTCATACTTACACATGAAAGATTCATATATAATCCAGTTACACACGATGGAGAGGAAAAATAAGAAGAATATGTAATAGCGATGGTTGCCGAAACCTGCATCCAAAAAAAAAATCAACAGTTAATATTCCTTACAATGATTTTCCAGCTCAAGACCTTATTAACCACTTTCCTGTCCAAAGTCTTCACCAAAGTAAAGAAATAACCTGTCACTTTGCTTTTAAATACCATTAAACCAAAACCAAATGGCTCTGGCATGCCGTGGTCAGTTGTCCGTGTTAACTGAATTAGTATTTATCCATTGCTTACTTAAAAGAGGTCATTTCACCTGTTCTCTATGTGAAGCACATCAAAGTGTATCCAGGACACCTGACTGAGCTGGGGCAGCGTTCTGTTCATCAAGATCATAAAAGCATGTCTCCCGTGAAAGCCCGGGTCTTTGAAAGACCCACCACCATACTTCCTAACAACAAACCCCAGGGTTTACTGTGATGGCTCAGAGGCAGATCAGGACGAGAAATATTCCCTGGGTGGAAGGCAACCCCCAGATCTCTCCATCTCTGATTCTACCTCCTACCTGAGCCTTGAGGAGGACAAGCGGAGAATGTGAACCAGGGACCAGGCACAAAACACGGAGAACACATTTGGAGCAGAAGTCTGATGCTACTAAAGTGGTTTCAAGCAAATAATTTTTTACCTTTTAAATTTTTTCAACTCTAAAATGGAGATAATAATAGTACTCTCATAGGAGTGGTACCTGATGATCAAATAGGATATGATACATGAAAGCACATTATAAATGCTAAAATACTATAAAATGATATTAACATCAAAAGTCAGTCTTCTGAAAGTGTTATACCATAGAGATGCTTCTCTGATGAGGAAGAGCTACCAAATGGAGTCCCTTCCACTTTTCCTATGAGTCACACACACAACTAAATATAGGCTTAGCTTTGCAGTGGTAACTGAAAAATTCAGCCTCTCACCTATGCAGCGTCCAGTCCAGAGGCAGTGTTGATCGTATCGAGCGACACAGGAATTGCACACAGGGCAATGGAGTGACCTTAGCGGCTTCCTTACCTAAGTGGGCAATGAAGAGAGGTCCAAGCATAAACCTGTGTCTCAAAGTGGTAGCAAATCACAAGCAAAACCTTATTCTTAAATCACAAAGACGCTGGCACAAATAATTCTAAATAGTAGATCACCGATTCACAAAGAGGCTCTGGAATACCTTATTAATAAGATATTTACTTCTCTATATCTAATTCATTGAAGCCCTCACTAAAGGGGATTTGAATTCCCTACTGACACAGACTAACGAGAAATAAGACAGTACTCCTACCGCACCAGGAGCACCGGCCTAAGAGAAGAGAAACCTGAGTTACATTTCTGGCTCTGCCAACCTTTTAGGGAAAGTTCCTTCCTCCTTGTAGGCCATGATTCCTCAACTGCAAAATGAGAAGTTTCACTAAATTATTCCTAGGGCCGTCATGAGCCTCTGACTCCAAGTTAGTTCTATCATATGCTTTGTGGCAGGAAAAAGCAAACAAAAAATACAAGGAGACTTTTAATCGCAGGCAACTTCAAAAGATTATAAATATCTTTCTCCCATATGTTCAAGGCAGAAAATTGTTCTGACAGTAATGCAAAATTAGAACCCAGTAGAAACAAAGGTATATAAATATACCATGAAGATTTAGTAAATGCTTACATGAGCAATGTAACCAAGAATTTGCTTTTACAATGGGAAAAGAATTATAAAGAAAAGACTCACTCACTAGACACGACGTACAGAATGTCCTGAGGTCCAGACAGCCGGTCTCTGCGAGGGTGATGATGTTCTAAAAGACACGGAGTTTGACCTTACGTTTGTGCTATGCAGGGGAACGTATAATGCATGGTTATATACTGTAATCACAGCTCTCTCTCCAGTCTGAGGTAGCTAAAAAAGCAATTTCTAAGACTTGCCAACAAATCATTCTGTGCCTGAAATAATGAGACTTTTCAAGGCTGCATTTTCAACCACAGCCAATAAATCAGAATGCACAAAAATTATACCCCCTTCTCTCCATCAATAGCAATGATCCCCAGTTATAATCTGCCGGAGGAGAGTAAACATGGACCCTCCTAAAAAGAACCAAAACCTGTCAGTATACGACAGAACTGATCGCTATAAACACCAAGAACTGTCTTTGAGGAACACAGGCTTTAGGTAACGAGACGACACCCTCCCCAGCTTGAAAACATTCACGAGCAATGGAGGACACGCCACGCCACCTGACAACTGCACATCTGAGGAAGAGAAGGGGCATCTCCTCGGTCAGTGAAGAGGACTTGCCCTGGCTCCTGCCTACGCCATGTATTAGAGGAGGGCATTTAGGCTCTATGATCATTACCTAAGCATCTAAGCGTCTAACTATAATGAAGTGGAAGACTGTACCTGCTGACAGAAATGACATGTGAAAAAGTCCTGGTGAGGTGTTGCTTTAATAGAAATTTAAATTTTGTAGAAGATGAGTCATAATTATTTATTAATATTATAAAACAGTGTAATTAACCTAGTAATTTAATAGCCAATTAGTGTATTCCTTGGAGCTAACATTTGGCACTAAAATAGTACCTTTACAGTAAAACAGAGTGAAGGCAAGTTTATGTCTCTAAAAGTCTCAGGCTGAGGACCTGAAAGAGTGAGCATGGGGTTAGGACTTAATGCCTATAGGTATTATACTCGTATTCTTTTTTTTCTTTTTTCTTGTTTTTATACTCATTTTTTTTTTTTTAATTTTCATGTAAGCAAATGAAAAAGTGTGACAGTGGAGAAATCCCATTTTGCTGATTTATTCATTTCACATTCATGATGCACCTATGAGGTGCCAGGCACCAGAGATGCAGTCAGGACAAAACCAACACAGCTGTGATCTTCAGAAGTTTATATACCCTACTATTAAAAAAACAGTAACGTCACAGAGAAAGCTCACCGTTTTCCTTTCTTCTTCAGAAGCCTTAGTGAAGCCTGGATCCGTTGCCCAAGTCTTGTAGAAGAAGTGAAGGAAGCCTATTATGCTGAGAATAAAAGCAAAATAGAAAGGAGTGCCTGCTAGATGTTAATGCCAGGTTAAGGAACATACCCGACTTCCCTTAAAAGCATAGTTATAACATATGCAAACTTCATCCCTGGTACCTAAGAATCTCTACCCTCTGCATTCTCTCCTCACCTTCCCTTATCTAACACATCCTTGCCCGAAAACCTGGCCCCATTCTATGTTCTAATCCTATGGAAACTTGGTCATAGTTGACAAATTTAATCCCTCCTCAACAGTTGAAACTCACATAAAATATTGATAGGAAGAGCTGCTATATATGAAGACCATCCTGAAGACTAAAAAACATTCAAGATCCAAATAAATTAACCTGTAATGATATAATGTGGCTCTCCTGAGAGCATCCAGAAAAGTATTTTCTGATCATTCTAACAAAAGCATTAAAAAAAAAACCAAGGCACTTGGTACAGTGATTCAAACTAAAAATGTTTTTATATATTAGATAAATTCTTGCCAAAAACCTCCTATTGCATAGTATATAATCTTAACTTATTTAGGCTGAGTTTATTTAGAAACAAAAGAAATTGCTCTCTGTGCAAAGTGATTATAAACCAAGTATTTGGAAAAAGCAGATGTTATAAACTAAGACAAAGAGTGTTTCAAGGATAAATGGTCCCCACTTTGAAATGTTTTTGAATTAGAACAAATTCTTTAAGAGTTAAATTTTGCTCCAGTAAAATTCTGTGCAGTAATAAACCAATATACCAGTAAAAAACCAGTTTTCCTTGCCTAATTTAAATCATAATTGACACAGTAACAGTATTTGCCTCCAAGGTGCTGCCAAGATGTCTTGTACCAAACTTCGTAGTAGAAAAGGTGGCCTTAAGACTCTAAACCCTTGCTGTTTAAAGTGTGGAAGCTCGTTAGAGGCAGAACCTGAGATGTGCCCCCCGTCTGCAGCCAGATCTGCAGACCCACGAGGACCAGCCCAACCAAGGCCGGCTGCTCAGGGGAGCACTTCAGTTCACACCCGGGACCTTCAAACATCCCTGACATTCGGCTGGAAAAACACGGATCTGACGGCGAAGTGTGCCACCTACCGACGGACTCATGACAGTAACAGGACTCATGTGAGTCCTCGATCCAGAGGCTTTATGCTGCACACGTGAGTAAACTGCCCCATCTTGTCAACTCCAACATCTTCAGACTCCTAGCTGTGCAAATCAGTTCTTGTGATGTAATGGAATCTTCATGAATACTGAACACTTTAAGTTCTACAATGGAGGATTTCAAACTACGGTGGAGTTACTTTGTTGCTAATATTGATTCTACACATTTGAAATAATTCAATATAATTTGAAATAATGTAGATTGCTCACATTTTAAAAATTCATCAAGAAACACAATTTTAAAACTGTTGTTACTCCATTGCCACATGGTCTGGTGAACAAAAACATCAGCCATCCCTTCTCAGTGTCATGTCAATTACCCTTGAATTTAGCAGCCTTGGGACTTGCACAGATGACTCTGAGGTACATTGTGCTGTTAGTTTTTATGCACTCATGGTTACTTGTAAATTTAGTTATTTTTATATCACATAATGAAATGCTTAAAGGTGGATTTCTAGCCACTATATTCCTTCTTCTTATATCTGTAGGGAAAATAACTTGTAATGGCTTTTTAGAGTCCAAGGTGACTTTCCAGGAAGGTGAAAAAGGATCCTGGGAAGAGGTGGGAAGCATGAAAACTGGAGAAAATGCTTCCCTTCTCTGGGAGCTTTAAATAGATATAAACTAAGAAGGAACCCCTAGCCCCACTTCTAGGAGATTGGATTCCGTCAGCCTAAAAGTACAGCACACCCGAGGCTGGACTGCCTGAGCCCTGCTCTTCCAGTGATAATCCTACTCCTCAGGTGAGTTTTGTCTTCCACCATGGGCTACCCGTCCACTAGCAGGCCAGGAAAGAATGCAGTGTGTGGTGACCAGCATTCTTTTTTTTTCTTCTCTAATATGGAACACTTCACAAATTTGGGCGTCATCCTTGCACAGGGGCCATGCTAATCTCTGTATCATCCCAATTTTAGTATATGTGCTGCCGAAGCAAGCACAGCGTTCTTTAAGAAAGAAATACAATAGGATGACATAAAATTTCAGAGTAAATTATACATTAGGAGTACTGTTCTCTGAAACTTCTGCCTCCCATACATTTTGTAGACTTATCAGTGCCTCCACTGTGGACTGAGAACCACACACCACACTGACCGTCACTGAGGAGGGCCTTCCCCCAAAACCCTCCCATGCGGGGCACCTTGGAGCCCAGAAGATGCGCCAATCAACTACAACTACTGAACGAGTTCAAAGAACCATTGGAACTTCGAGAGAAGCTCAAGGCAATACATGAAATTTTTGTGGGTCCAAGTAAAACATTTCATTCTACTGTTTCCTTCTAATGAGTAGTAAATACCAGACACCTACTTTTTCCACTGTGTGCTCTGAGAATATTTCCGAGGTTGAGTAGACTTTCGACATTAAACATCTTCAACCAAAATCATTAAATATATACAAATGTGAGTTGTGTTCCCTGGATCTCTTTTAATATCTCAATTTCTAACAACGGCATTACTGTTCTTTTAAAGGCAAAGAGACGGGCGTTTACATTTAAGCTTGAAGGATATGAGGAAAGAATAAGATGAACCAAGTCATGAACATCCAAAAAATGGAACTTAGCAGAAAGGCCATCGGTAAGTATACAAGGCTCTTATACCCGACCAGCAACCTAAAGGAAAAAAGGATAAACACAAGGTATTAGTGAAAACAACTATAACTCATACCAATTTCAGTTCTAAATTCCCTTAAATGACAACAGTGATGAAAACGATCCCCTTAACCGCCAATGACAGCTTCCACTCACTGACGCTCACTGTGCGCCACTTTCCACACGAGGAAACTGAGGCACAGGGACTCTCGAGTGCGTGTTCTTGCCCTCACAGCTAGTTACACAGGGCTCCATTCCCAACCACGTCGTGTTTTCGGTGCATCTTTCTTATTTCTATTGAGACACACTGTATTTGTATCACTTTTTTTTGGGGGGGGGGCGGAGCATATCCTCTATGATCAGATACTCCAAAATGCAAAATTTTAAATACTTGGAGAGCCACCTTCACGTCTATAAAGCTTTCTTCTAGCGTATATAGCAATATGTTTCTGAAACACACAGATGCACATAACTTTAAGTCCTTTCATCCCACAACCAGCCTGAGAAACAGACCCTGGACGTAAAAAGGCACAAAAAGGCTGAAAGTGGCACTAGTTGTCACTAACCCTCGCACTAAAGTAACAAAAAGCTAGGAAATCCATATTCGACTTACTCAAATGTTAATATTGTAGTTTCAAAAGAAGAAAAAATCCGTCTTTCATATTAAATACTCCATATAGTGAATCTATGCATGAAAATAGTTTACTTGGATCTGTTTTAAAATTTGTACCAGGAAAAAACAAGAGTTGATGATGGGCATGAAAAGGGTAAGCTTTCCAGATCATTAGCATATTATGATAAAATATTTGAGAAGAATTAAAATCCCAAACCCAATATGCTGCCTGAATAGGTCACATGGAGCCCACGTCACCTCCAGGGCATGACCTGTCTGCGATTTTGCAGCAGAAATGTGTTTGAACTAATTAAGAACTACCTCATTTGTAAGAGACTGTCTACTTCTGACAGGGGTCAGGTAGCAGCCTGTATCAATACGCAACGGCCCCTGGGACCCAATAACAGTAGAAGTTCACAGCTGCCTGCCTCCACAGAACTGGGGCCCGACAGAGGAGTGCGGCAGCAATGGAAGCAGAGCAGATAAAGTTACTATATGCACGTGTCTCCCATCGGAATTGAGCCCAGATGACAAGCCTCACATGTGAAGCCCTCAACTCCAAGTCATCAAAAACAAAAGCTTTCATGGACATGTTTTATAATGTAGGTTTTTACTATCACAAACAAAACCTTAAATGCCCCTATCCAAGGTCAGTAAATACTGCCCTTGCTTTCTCTCCGGGCAGCGAGGGAAGGAGAGGAGAGGGGAGTGATGATTGTGATCATTGATGATCGGGCTTAAAATTTATTTGGAGACTGAGCCAATCCAATTAGTGGAAAATAAATGACTATCTCTAAGTTACAAGTTTTCTGAGTAGCAAACAAATTAGGCACTTTGCTACTTTTCAGAAATTTGAGCTTCTGCTTTACATGAAAATTCTAATTCATTTCCAGCCAACGGTCCTGCTCGAGTGACCAAATGGTTAAGAGTCCTCTGAGGCTTTGTTTTTTCTTGGAACAAAGTATGTACATGCTTATTCCAGAAAATGCTGGTGAGCATAAGGAAGGCACAGGAATCTCATAGTCATACCCTAAAGGAGTAACACTATTTCCTTTTAGGTCTTTTTCTGTGGATCATCATTACAGTTTTCATTCATTCCGGACAGAAGTTTCCTGCTTATATGGGCCTTATGCTGCAGGAAACAGTGATTAAGTGCTGCCAAGAAAACAAATCGGGGTGTCAGGGAAGGCCTCACGAAGGAGGCCCGGCTGGACTCGGGCCAGCGTGAGACGTCTCCAGTTACACAATCAGAACGTGTCAGACAAAGATACAAGCGCAAGCCAAGAACCTGGGTGGGGTGAGCTTGATGTGTTCCAGAAAGAGAAAGAAGGTTGGAGAACAAGGAAAGAAAGAGGTGAAGTCAGAGGGGAAAGAACAAATCACATAATACCTCCTAGGCAAGGAGTTTGGGTTTTATTCTGAGTACAAGGAAAACCTGCTGGAGGATTTGAGCAGGAGAAAAAGACAAAAACTGATTTGCCTTTCTAGAAGATGACCCTGATTGCTAAAGTGGGGGTGACCTAGAAAAGGGCAAGAGTGGGAGTCAGGGGGGCAGCTGAGAGGTTTGGTCCAGGGTGCCAGTCGTGTAGATGGAGAGAGGAGACCCACTGGAGGCTGAGCAAGGACTCGGCAATGAGCTGGACGTGGGAAGTGAAGAGAAGAACGGAGGAAGACAGCAGTCCAAGGAAGATGCCCCTTATTCACAGGAGGAACTACATGCCCTTTTACTGAGAAAGGAAAGAAGAGATGGGCCTGATGAGATTATGGAGAATCGTGTATCAGCCATGGTTCGAAGCACTGTGTGGGTATTAACCATGAGGCAAGTGTTGTGATGATTATTATCCCCGTTTTATACACAAGCTGAAGCACAGAAAAGTAAAACGAGTCGTCCGGGGCTGGCCTGTTGTATGGTGAGGCCTGACTTGAATCCAGGTAATGAGTCTTAACAGATGACTATACATAATGTGTAAATGTTTTCCTAAAAACAGAACTGCACCATAATTGCTATTTATAACCTCCTGTGATTTAATTAGGCTGTTTCAACTATATAACATTAAGAACAAAAATAACTAGCTTAAAATTAATTCAGATTAAAAAAAGAAAAAGCAAATTTGCTGAAAGTTGAGCAAAAATGCTTCAAGATGCAAATTAGTTACAAAAATTTCCCCATTATTCATCAAAATTAACATTTCAAAAAAAAAAGCTATATATTTTCCACTAATTGTCAGTTCAAATAAATTATTGGGTTGATCAAGTAAGTAGCTTTCAGTCCAATCATATTCCACTAAAGTCCTTCCCTCCCAGCAACCCTGATGATGTTTCTATGTGATAAGTAACACAGCTCAATAAAAAAAAATTCTATGATTCCAGCTAATCAACAATAGAAATAAGCAATAAAATTGAAACGCAATAATCAGCTTTGCAAAGACTAATATACACACCTTGGAAACAAAGATGTCAGAAAAAACAACGTTACTAGAAGACATCCTTTTAAAAGCCAAGAATCTGAATTGAAGTCCAATATGTATCCAACAGCCCACATGGTAATCACAGAAAGCATCAGCAGCAGGAAGAGCTATTAAGAGATTCAGAATTTTAGAACTTTACAGATTTTACCTCCTAAGTATTTAATAAATATTAGCTCATTAGAAGAACTACTTTCTAAACATATAATAACAAGTAATACAACAGCAGAACACAAAGTTTTCCTTCAAAGTTTCTGACTAATAAATTTAAAGTTTGGGAAATTACAAGTCTTAGAAACAATCTTTTAAAAGTCTTACATTTTCTAACTGTTGCTGACACATACTTTGTTTTGCTTTCCTTCCCTCCAGCAGTGGTTGTTTAGAAAAGTGTTAACGATAGCTGACGTTTAAAAAAAATAATAATTTCTTTCAAACAGTAGTACATACCAGAAAGTACCAAGCACAACAAATAGGCCAGGCAAAAAGCAGGACGCCCAAGATCTGATGAGGAGAGCATACGAGTTCCAACCTGGGCACCAGACGGTGCCATCCCTTAATAAAGAGTGTGAGAAGGAACAGGTTGACAGAAAAGGTGAGTGTAGGTTAGCCCACGTGGAATTTTAGATGTCTGTGCACATCTATAGCATATCCGGGAGGCAGTCAGAAAAGCAGAGCTACCACTCAGGAGAAGGCTGGAATGCATCAGCGTATAGGTGGCAAAGCCATGAATGAACAACGTCCCAAAGACTGTGTGCAGGTACAAAAGGGCAGAATCTTGGCCAACACACATTTAAGGAGAAAAAGCAAAGTCCTCGGAGGTAACTAAGAAAGAGTGACCAGTGTGATCAGAAAGGCAGCTTCAGAACCAGGAGAAAGAAAGGTTCCACAGAAGCCAGGGAGGAGAGTTTCAAGAAGGGACTGGTTCTCAGTGTCAAAGTCACACAGATGCCAAAGGCGAAAACATGTCCTGGCAAAGTAAAAAGGAGTCTATGAAGCAACAGTGTGACTACTGCAGAGAAACCGGGCACCACGATTTTACAACGCAGACCCTTAGCTGCAACATGTGCATGACCTTGGAAGCAAGCAGGGCCTTTTCAACAGCAAAGGAAGAAATTATATTCTGCCCTATCTTCTTCACTATTTACTTCTCTGAGCCACATCCTAAGGATGGATAATTTCAAATGATACCAGATCTTTAAAATGCTTCCAAATTAGACTGCATTACACAAAATGAGCAAGTTTAGATTTTTTTTAAAAAAAGGTAAACTTAGAATCTACAGCAATTTAACTTCAGAACACAAATTAAATACGGATCTCAAAGTTTTAATCCCAGATATAACACCCACAGACGAGTCACACCATTCACTCATTCAACAATCATTCCAGTGCATATACAAGGTGGGGCAAAAGTAGGTTCGCAGCTGTTTATATGGTAAATAATATAGTGATTACTAAATAAACACTACTACAAGAATAAACTCTGTGTTTTGGGTACTCACACTGTAAACCTGCTTTTACCCCACCCTGTATATATGGAGGTACTATTCTAGTCACCTGGGACATAACAAATGAATTTCAGGTCTTTCTCTTGTTAAGCTTAAACTCTAGTAGGGGAAGACAGACAACTGTACTAAGTGGATTTTATAGTATATAAAAAGCTGGGCCAGAAGGGGCCCTATAAGCCATTGTAAGGACTTTGGCTCTTATTCCGGGAGAAGGAGGTAGACAGGATTCTGAGCAGATGAATGATAGGACCTGACTTACATTTTAAACGATTAATCTGGCTGCTCTGCTAAGAACAGACTACAGGGGAGTGGGGCCAGGGAGATGTCAGACAACCACAGTGAGTCACATGAAGGAGAATGGTGGCTGGACCAAAAGGCCATTGGTGGACGGGCAAGGGCAGAACCAGCTAATGTGTTTTTCAAATGGCCTATATGCACAGTGTGACTAAGAAAACACACAGCTGGGTGGAAAGCTGGAGTGCCATGTACTGAGATGTGGAAGGCTATGGATGGAATAGTGAGCGGGATGCGGAAAAGATCAGCAGTTCGGTTCTGGATATGGTATATGGGAGATGCCTATCAGACACTGAACTGGCAAGTCGTGAAGGCAGCTGGGAGATACGAGTCTGGAAAGGTCTAAACTAGAGACACCTTTGGGAGTCATCGATATATAGACAGCATTTAAAGCCATGGAAGTGCATGAAATCACCAAGGGAATGAATACAAGTAAAAGAAGTACAAGGCCAAAACCCTAGGGCACCCTACCGTATGGGGTGGGGGAGAAGCGGAAGGGTTGGCGAAGGAGACTGAGGAGTGACCACTATTTCCTTCTCTCTCCCTCCAAATACCCAACTGCAAACATGTATAGTATTCCCGATGACCCTCTCCATAGAAATCTGGTGTCTGTTGATTCAGAATCATTCTGAAAGTATAGTTACCAATTATTTTTAGATAAGATGATGCTATCTATCACATATTCCATTAAAAATAGTGGAATCAATTCAAAACTCCATTTTTAACAGTTTAAATTATATTTTATAGTAAATTATATTTACTATTATGATTTAGATTTTGCTGGCCATTTATAAGAACAAGCTGAATTCATTTTACCATTATTCACTTTGCTTTTACGTTTAGAAGAGCACCACTCAGAAGAATTGTCAAATTAAAAAAATCATAAAATTTGGACTTCATCTCTTGCAATGTCAGATTACTTTTACTTTATGAAATGACATCATATGCTTAAAGTTGGTTGCAACATCACTATTTTTAGTCTAACTCCTCATAATTCTAACAAGACATTTTGAATGTTACTATTTTCCTTTTGAAAAAAAGTTAATAAGAAACAAGTTCTTTAACAAAAGTTTCCATAAAATTTCCTGAAAAAAGCATCTTTCCTTTTACTTCCGAGATATCTAAACCATCTGCATTTCAATTCACTGATTGAATAAATGTGGAAGTGCACCATGATGTCCGTCCAGAAGGCAACATGGCATTCACTGCAGAGCCATCTAGTTGAGGACGAACACCACATCGCCAGTGACAGTGCCCAATTCCCAACTTTGGGTTGTGGGATGCATGTGGGAAGATACAGTCAGGAGAAATGCAGCACTCCCTGGTTTCCCGATGCCTTACAAAACACACGCGAATGAATAAAACAGTTCTTATAGCGTAGGGCCCATATGAAAATACCTCGCATTTCTGCAGCCACCTCCAAAGCGTGAACTTTTTGTTGGCTCTCATTTTGGCTTCTGTTTTCAGCATGTGAACAATGAGCTGATTTTTACTTTGTAGAGCCATCTCAAGAGGTGTTTCTCCCTGAGAGAAGAGAAGAGAAGAGAAGAGAAGAGAAGAGAAGAGAAGAGAAGAGAAGAGAAGAGAAGAGAAGAGAAGAGAAGAGAAGAGAAGAGAAGAGGAGAAGAAAAATCAATTACATTTTGGATATAGTATAGATACTATACTTTTTTTTAAAAACTCACCAGAATCACAGACTAAACATATATATTCTGGGGGTAGCCAGCTGTTACTGTTTACATCTCTCCTCTGGTAATTAAGTCATACGTACAGCTTCCTGTTACGTTAACTTTTCAATCCTTCAACTGAAGCTACAGTAGGCTAAGGGAGATAAATACCTGGTCATACCTTAGCATTTTGGATATCCAGGCTAGAACCAGCTTCCAAAAGCTTATCAACTGCAGTGACATTTCCTGCTGCCACTGCCCAGTGAAGCGGGGTGTTCTGCTGTATTTTATCAACCACATTGAGGGAAGGATTAAACTTTAAAAGAAATCCAGTTGGTTCTGGCCTGTTTCAAAACAATAAAATACCAAGCGGTATTAGAGAGATGAATGATTTGAGGGGTAAATGTAAATAACCAATTTTTTAAGCTAATATATCAGTGAACAAATCAGTAAGCATTCTGGAAACTGAAGAACTTCTTTGTGCAGAGTTCTATGTGATGTTAACAGGAGAGATACATATCAGACAGTCTACTGGACAGGTAACACAATTTTCACATCACTCCTGCCTCTGTCTTTCAAGCTTTTACTTTCATGTTGTTGTTCTGTTGGTCAACATCTTTTTTTAAATCGTGCAACTTAGCTTTGGCCAATATTAAATTCTATGTTATTTATCTAATTAAAAACTAAATGTAAAATATTATATTTGAGGAGATAAACCAAAAGCTAACTTCACATTCTCCCTTTAAACCTATTATTAAATAAAGCAGGTATAATAATGTCCTAAAATATGTGTTTACCTTAGAAAATCATCAACTAGAAGGCAAAATTCAATAAAATATTTTTGCTTTATCAATACCTGCCCTTCCTTCACGACGACTTAAGTCTTTTAATGAAATAATATTCTACTTTACTTATTCTATCAAGATCTTTAAACACTCTGCCTGACTTCAGAGTCACCAGCAAAGAAGACAAAACGCTTTCTAACACAGTCCTACCCCCAACCTACTACTCGATGAATGAGAAGGAAACAGCATCAGAACTAACTCAGTTCCTAAGACAGAAATCCAAAGTAAAAGCAGAGTCAGAAACTGAACATTACACTGGAAACAAACTGATGAAGGGATAACTATAGCACAGATCTGAAAAGAAGAAAATCAGAAGTTGGACTATATGGTAGTCATTAAAAAAATTTAAATATGCAAGTGCTTGATGTGAACAGATAAACTATTTTCATAGATCAGTTATAATTAATATTTTCAGAGCAGTCAACAATGGCAGTGAACCTCAACATCTATTGTTTTCTGGAAAGCAGATTTATCATGTAGATTTCAAATGATGAGAACCTTTGAACTTGTCACCATTTTTTTGAAAATGCAAACTAAGAAATGTAAGTCATGTTGATAAGTATATGCTATGAAATCTCTAGCAGTTTTGTAAGGAAATTATTTTGTTATAGTAGTTTTCAAACTTTTTCCATGAGCTATCAGAAAAGAGAAAATTTATTTCAGTGGTGCTTTTCTATGTACAACTACCTAAGAAGTCCTGATCCTAGTCACAGGGTGGAAAACCTTATCATATTCTTCAGAATGCAGCATCATTTCACACGGAGTAAGATACTTAAAATTATATACACAAAGAAGAAACTGTCAGAACCAAGAATCAGAATAAGCCAATTTAATTAAATTCACTTACCCAAGTATTTTGTGAGCTGATAACATGAGAGGCGTCTGCCCATTTAGGTCGGTCATGTTCACACTCTGTTCAAACAGAAGAGTTAATCAGCCTAAGTGCAGCCCCAGTCCGAACTCTTTCTTCTCCTAACAGAAGTCTCTCTTTAATACATCAACACCATCACTGTGTCTACAAGGAGGGTTCAGATAGCATTTGAATAAAAGAATGTTCTGCTTCACAGCCACAACATAAAAATCCATTGACTCATGAGAATACTTCTATAGGGAATATGTGAACATGTGATTTCATTTAAAGTGTTAGATACTGTGAATGGAAGAGAGCTGAGGAAAAGAGAAAAACAATAATCACCATCAAATAGGAGAGACTTTAGAAGTAGAGACCTTAGAAGTCATCTAGTTTAGCCTTAACTGAGACATTCATGCGTACCACCATCTCTTACACACGGTGGTCCGGCCTCTCCTCAAACACTCCCAGTAACAATAAACTCCCTACCTTTGGAGGCAACTCGCCATATTTTTTGGATTTATCATTTTATGTTTTAAAAGGTAACACATGACAATTTCTTTTCTATTCTTCCAGAATATTAAAAAAAAAAAAAAAAAAAAAAGGCCCTGGCTGGTGTAGCTCAGTGGATTGAGTGCAGGCTGTGAACCAAAGGGTTGCAGTTCAATTCCCAATCAGGGCACATGCCTGGGTTGCGGGCCAGGTCCCCAGTGGGGGCCATATGAGAGGAAACCACACATTGATGTTTCTCTCCCTCTCTTTCTCCTTTCCTTCCCCTCTCTCTCTAAAATAATAATAATAATAATAATAATAATATATTTAAAAAATATATATAGTAGAATTTTTTCAAAAAAGGAAATCATACCACCTTTTAATAAAATGGGCCCAGGCTCGAAGTATATAATAATGGTTCCAACAAAGCCAAAAAAAGTTTCAATTATTGAAGATTCTCAGGGGCCCTGGAGGGAATACAACGTGGGAAGGAACCCAAAGAGAAGCAGAAAGGATTCCTCCTCGATCATCTTTCCGAAGTGAGCCCCAGAAGGTTATAATTATCCTACTTCAATCGGCTGAGTCTGGGAGAAAGTGCTTATTTAAAGACAACACAGTCATCCCGACAGCGTTTGCGCAAACATGTTTCCACGCCTGTCACGGGCGAGCCTGCTAACATATAAACTACTTCACTATGAGAAAGCATATCCCAGACAAATATAGCTGACAGTGAAACTCCCACTGCCAATAACCTATAATTTAACCTGTGCCATAAATGGATGCCTCTGAAGGCAAGTCATTTTTTCATGGAATTACTTTAGAGAACAATAAGAAACACACAGTCAAATTGGTCTCCCATTTAGACTCAAACAATGAATGCAATGATGGGTTAAATTCAGTGACCTAACTACCATTTCTACAGTCAACCAGAAGAAAAATACAGGCTTTGAAGTCATGTTTTTTAAAATCTCTGCAAATTACTAGGGTTATGAGGAAAACTATTACAGGCTCCCAAGTTTCAGAAACATCTATTACATGTTTCTGAGCTAAATGACCTGTGCTTGCTGCTCCACTGAAGCCGCAACACCTAGACTCACAGAGGCTAATATCTGAGTATCTGGATATCTGTAACTTCTACTTTAAACATGAGAACAGACTACTAATCATCTTCCCAATCTCTTCAAATCTGCACTAGCTAGAGTATGAAATATGTTTCAGAATATACCTGTCCCTTTGAGATGAGATACGCTATGATGGGCATGTGCTGGAATAACACTGCCAGGTGGATGCTGCTGAATCCTTCCCCATCGATGAGAGTGGGGTCTGCACCGTACTGCAGTAATAATATGACCATAGGTAAATGCCCTTGCCTGTAAATAGAGAGGAAAAATTATACTGTGTTCTATGGCATGCAGAAGAATAAAATAAACTCAGGGAGAAATTGGCATCTTTAAGACATGAGGAATTTAGTTAGATATAAAATGTATTTCCTGGCAGTTAAGATTCTTAAAACCCTGGAGATTCTCTAAATGTCTTTTACTCAGATGCTCCAAACTTATGTCTGGACAGTCCTCCTCAAGTGCAGGTAATAACCTTAACAGCCTCCTAATCTACCTTAAACCTCATGTTGCTACCCTGTACGAATAATCATTTTACATGACTAATGCTAGAAATGTAAGCTTTAAAACCACTTAGACCTCCCTGTTGCTACTTTACATTAATCATGAGCCAGATATGCTACAATATAACATTCAGGCTGCAGCTATACTTTCATAATATTATTCTTAAGGAACCAGATATTAGCGCACGTGATTACAGCTCACTCTCCAAAGAAGGCACAGTGCCTCGGTAGCTTAATTATGCCTCAACCCTAGACTCTTCATTCTTGGCTACGGAGAAAAGATTCCATTCCTTGTCTTAAATAAACAAGTATTCATTTTAGTTTCAGGTTCATGTCATCCCACCACCCACAGAGCATGGAGTTAAAATGAAAAATAAAGAAACTGTTAAGTATCAATACAGGCACTTACTAACTTCATTTTCAGATGGCTATACATATCAGAGAAAAGAACTGATTTAAGTTTATAGTTCACTGAACTATCACTTTTGTTCATGTGATCAAGTATAATATTTATTTTGATTAAAACAGAAAGTAAAAGACACACATTTGAGTTTGAGCATCATAGTGAAGCCTTAAGGTCTCTCTTTGGAAATGCTTCAAAGCTGCATTCATTTATATACATATATAAATGAATAACTATATATATAAATATGTAAATACATATATATTCATTTATTGAAGGGGGGAAAAGAAAAGAAAGGCTTTCAAATGGTCTGTAACTGCAGTTTCCAATATTGTGGCTACTAACCATAGACGGGGGTATTTAAATTCAAATTAATTAAAATTAAATAAAATTTAAAATTTAAATCCTTATTATTAGCTCCATTTCACATATGGCTAGTGCCTACCATATTGGATAGCACAGAATAGAATATTTTCATTATTGCAGGAAATTCTCTTGGAAAATGCTGATTGTTAATGTTCAGAAAATAAACTGAAGTCACTGGACTTTGAAGTGCAATTTCAGTGTATAAGAAACCTTTACCTGATGGCCCAGTGAAGAGGAGTTGAATTTAAATCTCCACCCAACTGATCTACCACAGCACCTTTTGAAATATAATACCTGTTAAAAACAGACACAGATAAAAATAAGATTTAAAACTTAAAATTCATACTGAGAAAAAACACATTAACTTTTCTTAGCAATAAATGTATAAAAAAAACAGAAATTATAGTAAGACCCTTCCCTGAAAGCCCTCAATACACGAAGTCTGAAAGAGTCACCCAACAGTGTGAGACAGACCCCCGGGGAAGCGCTCGTAGCGTCTAAGTGATCACTCCCGACGCCAGGAGCTTTCCACTAAAACGCACACACCGAGCACCTGGTGACTGCTCTGGATGTTCTAATTACCACCACACTCCTGAAATGGTTTCTATTCAAAGGGTTTGGATTCACACAGACATAACATGCAAGAAATTATGTCACTTTAAACAGTTTAAAATTAGAATGACTCATATGGAAATAAATTCTAAAAGTAGTAAGGAATCAATTCAAAATCCTTCCAGAAAAGTCAAACATTTTGAGTGTGTGGCCCTCTATTCAGGGAGCACAGATATGATACACTGTGTAAGTGAGTCTGTGAGGTAAAGAGACTTATTTTCTTCTGCGGTTTACAGGATTAATCTCATTATTTCAAAGTTGTGCTTCATAAGTCACATTGAAACAATACACCAATTTATTTCCACAAAGGGGTTTACCCTTGAGTATACGTGTTTATTTTAAACTTTAGTATATTTAAATTTTGTTAAACCTCAAGGATTAAAATATGTATCGTACAAATTATATATATTCACATACACATACATTTTACATGCTAAGGTATAAAACAAAGAAACAAAAAACAATGGGTGCGCAGTAGTGCTTTATAAAGAGAAAATATTTTCTACAATCCCTTACACGCCTACTTAAAAACATATTCCATATTCAGTTTTTAAAAAGGTTAAATTATTTCCCTATCTACCTATCCCCCCTGGCATTGTTACAATGTAGAATATTTCACTGTTTCTTCTAAGCTACATGAATCTTTCTCTTCTATCCTGAGAAAGTTTATCTTGTGCTTTTTCTTTTAAAAAAATGTTCAGTTTCATTTGCCTAAACTTTATCTTTATGAGTCTCCTTTCTGGGCCAATGACAATCCTGGATGGCATGCTCCGCAAGGTCCCTTCCAGTGCCCAGCAACTGACGTGCGTGGCACAAAGACTCGTTCAATCACAATAAAGGACCACAGACGGTTCAACATTCACAGGTGCACCTGAAGAAAGAGACAAATGAAGGAGAGGTCTAGAGGTATAAATAGACAATTAATACACATATATCCCCACTTACTTTACAAGATCCAGCCTGTTGTTAATAGCAGCCCAATGAAGAAGTGACACATTTTCTTTGTCTGGTTGCCTGACATCATATCCTGCTTCTACCAACTCTTTACATCGTTCAAAAATCCCGTATCTCAAATAAGAAAAAAAAGGACATAATGAATACCATTAAGATAATTTCAAATATCAAAGTGTCTTCCTTTTACCACGTCTTTATCCAATCTTTCAGTCAACAGAGAAATGCATTAACAAAGAGATAAACGAAGAGGCCATATTATAAAGCCAAACAACAAAAGTAAACCTGGTGTATTAACTGATGAGATTAATCCATCTGGAGTTGAATTTCATTTTTTTAAAATTAACATTCACATTTGTCCTCCTTCAATAAATTTCATTTGATCGTCCACTGTATGCCAGGAATGTATGGTGCTGATTCTTGACTACATAGTCTTATCCTTGAATCAAACCACACCCATGCAATGACCTCACAATTAGGGAATTTTATTATAAATTCAGTAATAAAATATAAACACAGTATAAGGAATAAAAAAAGGAAGAAATGATTAGCTGTCCTGAAGGGGATGAAACAAGGCACGTGAACTGTGTTTTATAGGCAGAAGGGAGGGCGTTGCAGGCACAGGGAACAGCATGTACAAAGATCAGAGATGTGAAACTGCATAGATGTTCAGAGAAACACACGCAGTTTAACACCGAGGAAGGATAAAACGTAAAAAAGAGAAGGGCCAGAGATGAGGCTAGAAGAGCTAGGCAAAGACCGAACGGCTTTCTGTGCCATGCTTTGAAGTTTATACCTACCTATCATTCAAAGGGAAACCACTGAAGGTTTTAAGACGAAGGCACTAAGACTGAGTTTTAAGGACGGTCACATGAGTGGCTGTATGGAAACTATTTTGAGGAGTGAGGCAGAGACTGAGAGACCAGTTCAGAGGCTTTTGCAATAAATTCGGGTGAGGGAATGACAGCCTAAAATGAGAGGGGCAACAGGAAGGGAAGAGGAGGGATGGACTTGAGACATATTTAGGAGAGTTATTTAAGTGACGGACAGAATGAAAAACAGGAGAGAAACATCTCTATTTAATGCTGTAATAACTTTTAAAATAATTCATTAGCAATATTTCTTTTCAGTAGAAACTAATTAAGTCCCAACAGACTATTTAGTACTTTCTTTGAAATATTCCTATTTAGAGACCTGAAAGCTTCCACAGGCCCTCGAGGGTCAAAATCAAACCAAAGTGTAGAACTAGGTTTCCTGTGCTGTAAAACTACCATATTTTTAGGACCATAAGATGCACCAGACTATAAGGCGCACCTAGATTTTAGAAGGGGAAAATAGAAAAAAAAATTTGAAGCAAAAAATGTGGTAAAATATTTAATAACATAAATAACATAGGCCACTGCCACCCCATGCCGCCACGGTGAGCCAGGTAAGCTGCATCTGGACTATAAGATGCACCCCCTTTACTTCCCAAATTTGGGGGGAGTGCATATTATAGTCCGAAAAATAACGGTAAATCATTTTTGTCTCACCAAAATGTGCGTGTCCCTATCTGTCTGTCGGTCTCTATGGCATTCTTAGGAGAGAGAGAACTGTCTGATAGTGCTAAAAATATTAATTAAATTATTGATAGATACATATATTTATATATTTCATCTTTTAAATGTCAACTCTAACATTTTACTGGAAAAGAAATACTCCCTTTATGCAAAAAATAAGAGGACACATTAATGAGGATTTGGTGGTTTAGACTAAAAACCCATATATGCACACACATATCCCAGCCCATTTTTGAGCAACTTACCTAAAGATCTTCCCACAACCACTTAAGAAGGTCTAAGACCTCACAGGAAATTTTAAGATATAAAATGAAAGTTTTTAATTCCCTGTGAGCATAACCTGATTTTTCACACTATAGAACTTTACCAGTACCAGAGACACATTTAAATGTTTCCATTCTAATTAAAGCAAATTTTGCCTTAACACTCCCACCTTCATACAAATATAATAACATAAACAATATCAAATAATATTCACCTAAAGCAGTAGTTCCCAAGGCCTCTAGAATTCATATAAATAATTAGAATACCTAAATAACTGTCGATTATTTCTAACTAACGTAAATAATACATTAGTGTATGTCAACTAATTAATCACCAACCTTCTTTGCTTCTGACAGAAATTATATCTAGTTAATGTGGTAACATTCATTCTTTTCATGCTGATTAGACACTCTGAGGGTCAGATTTATATTTGATTACTGAGAAACCAGATTATGAATCAATGCAGCTTGATAAACAAAATATTTCAAACTACATTCAATGGTAAGAGGTGAGTGGCTGTTAATAATCAATGAGACTTATAAGGGTAAAAATGGTGGAAATGATTTTATGCAAATACATCTAGAGATCTTAAGTGGTTACATTTCAAACATACTTTCATGTTTGGCGTAAGCAAAACAACCCACTGTATGTTTCAAGTGGTCAGAAAACCTATTCCTACTGTATTTACTCCTTTCTAGTACACCTGGCGCAATAGGTACACAGCAAGCACTCCAGAAATAAATGTTTAAAACATCCATAAATGTGGAAGCTGGTATTTTTTCCATCCCACCTACATGTTTAGGATGTAGTACATTTGAAAACACTCAGATCTGTATTTCAAACTCAGGGTCCAGTTTTAATGTCACTCAATATCCCTCATTTACTCAGCAAACATTTACCAGGCACCTAATACAAGCCGGGAACTATGCAAACGCACGGAAGCCACAAAGATGACAAAGACAGGCTTTTGCAAAGAAGCTGCTCACAATCTGTGGGAGAGACTAGTAATAAACAGCTGCTGTGCCCTGTGTTAAGTTCTCCGAGGCTGGTAGGCCAAACATACTAGCACTGGAATATGAAGGCAATAGTTGCTATTGCAACTATTATAGCCAAGAGTTGGCTATACACTGGAGTGCTATGAACTGCACACGCACTATTCTAACTCAGCAGAACATAAGGATAAAACAAAGCACTGGGAAGACTTACTGAGTAGCTTTTACAATGTCACAGTTACTGGAGTCCTCTATAAGAGGAAGAACTTCTTTCGCCTTGGCAAGTTCTTTGTTCTCGTGTGCGCAGCCTCCGTGTCGACCAAATCCTGAAGGGTGGGGGCCATGGCTGTGATTCCTGCACTGCAGAGTAGGAGCAATTGGACAAGGCACCAGAAGAGAATTAATGTCACATTTAATTGCACAATGAAAAATTTACTACTATCAACAATGTCTACATTATTAAATTAGAATCTTTTCTGGGTCTTAGGGTTGTATCCATGTGGAAATTTTTATCTTAATTCTCTTCATTAGGATTAGATGCTTAATAATAGAAAATTCCAAATTATATCTACATTTTGTCATAAAACAAAAGTTATCTGCAAAGGCACAAAGAGATCTTGGTTATCTGAAGCAGATGGAAAGCTTATTGATTACAAGCAGGAAGGTTAGCAGGCCTCCGCTTTGGGAGTTGTGGCAAACACACCCTAAAGATATCTCCCAGTAATCAAGTTCTTGAATATTTATAACATGAGTCCCAGAAGATGAGGGAGAGGTATTTTTAAATCTTTGACTAGCCAAAAATCTTTCAAATTTAATGAAAATTATACAGCCACACGTCCTAGAAGTTCAAAAAACTGAGCAGGATACACCTCGAATTCTCATACCGAGGCATATCAGAACGAAATCACTAAAATACAAAAATAAAGAGATAATCTTAAGAGCAGCCTAAGGAAAAAGATACATTATATCAAAAAAACAAAGATAAGAATGAATTCAGACTTCTTATCAGTAAGTGCAAATCAAAAGACAAAAGCACAATAGTTTTAAAGAGTCAAAGGAAAACTATACTGTAAATCTGGAAACGCCAGCAAAAATCAAGACAAAAAAATCAAGAAAATATATATTTTTAAACATCTCAAAGGATGAATATCCATTAAAAATAGAAAACTAAAGACATTTGATGGAATGTGCAAGATTCCAAAAAGGATTTAAGAAATGATATTTTTACTAAGTCCATTACCTTCAACAGGTTACTCTTAAGAGGAAAATGCCCTTTTTTTTAAAAGTTAACTTACAATGAAACTGACTTTTTGGTATGTAGTTCTATGAATTTTAACTCATGTATATAGCTGTGTAACTATCACCACAAACAGAATACAGAGCAGTTCCAAAACCTCAAAAAAAAAAAAAAAAACTCTCTTAGGATACTCCTTTGTAGTCACACCCTCTCCCCACACCTCCTGGCAACCACTGATACTTCTTCATCACCAGTTCCACCTTTCCCAGAATGTCATCTAATGGAATGATACAGTATATAATCCTCTAAGACTGGCTTCTTTCACTCAGCATAATGCTTCTGAGACTCATCTAAGTTGTTGCATGTTATTAACAGTTCCTTCCCTGCTGCATAGTATTCCATCTCATGACTGTGTCACAGTTTATCCACTCAAAAAAGTTTCTGACTTTTGACAACCTTAAATAGGCTGCATGCTTTTGCTGCATTCTGCATAAAAGTATATGCTTTTGTGTGAACATGTTTTTGTGTTTCTAGGAAGGAGACTGCTTGGCCAGCTGTTAAGTGTATGTTAAATTTCTAAGAAATTGCCAAACTATTTTCCAGAGTGGGTCGTACCCCTCGGCACTGCCACTGGCAACATGAGAGTTCCAACCGCTCTGCATCCCCCCAGCACTCCGAGTGGCCAGTGGCATGGATGTGTAGTGGTATCTAATCATGGTCTCAATGTGCATATCGACCAATGGCTAACAGGTTGAGCATCTTTTCACACACTTATTTGCCATCTGAGTATCTTCTCTGGTGAATTTTTAAAGTCTTTTACCCTTTTTGTTTTAATTGGGCTGTTTGTTTTCTTCAACTTTTGAGAGTTGGGTGTCTAACCCATGGCCCATGGGCCACATGAAGCCCAGGATGGTTATGAAAGTGGCCCAACACGAAATCACAAATTTACTTAAAACCTTTTTTTTAATCAGTTTCGTTAGTGTTTATGTATTTAATGTGTGGCCCAAGACAACTCTTCTCCTTCCAGTGTGGCCCAGAGATACCAAAAGGTTGGACACCCCTGTGAGATAAAAGTCCTCTGTCAGATCTGTGATTGCAAATATTCTCTCCCAGTAGTTTATCCTGCCATTTTTAAAAGTCTCTTTTATAGAGCAAAAATTTTTAATTTTGATGAAGTCCAATTTATCATTTTTTGTTCTTCTATGGCTCATGCTTTTGACGTCACTTTGGGACCACAACTCCTCTGTTCAGAAAAGTTCTCCCTCCAAGTTTCAGGCACCTGTGCTACCAGGAAACCTCTCCTGCTCTTTGAACCTGAACTAGAGTCTTCTCCTGCAGCACTCTAATTCTACATGTTCACCTCCAGGGTTCAAGTTTAGGCGGAGAGGGGAAGGAGAGGGGAAGGGGAAGAGAAGGGAAGGGATCCAGATGGGAGAACAAACAAAAAAAAAGGTAAATTACTTCCTGGTTCAGCATGTTGTTTTGTTTTTTATATTCTTGTCTTTTCCGCCAGTCTACCTGCTACACTTTATTTCTCAGAATCCCAGACTGCAGCTGCTCCCTGCACTCTGCCCAGTGCATTCAGTGGGACAGACAGGGCGGAGCACGCTAACTCCGTGTTACCCAGAGCCAGAACCACAGATACTCCTCTGACCACCTAAGTAAGTTCTGATCTGTCTGGTGGATTCCACCTGAGTACCTGACACTCTTAGTTACACTCACACACAGCTAAAAGTCAAGATAAAGGTCTTTAGATTATGACATAAATAAGAACATTACTTTAGAATTATTTTCATCATATCATAGTAATTACAATTATAGCCAACTGGAAGAAGACAAGAGGTAAGGAAAGAGTTGAACCATACTCAGAATTTCTGGAGTGTCAATAAATAGCACATGTAGTTAACACTGTCAGAGAAATCAGTCTACTTTTTATATAAAACCTCATTTAAAAAATTATGATTCACATTCATTTTAAAGGTCTAGCAATACAAAAGTGAACAGACTTTCATTCCAATCTTACATCCCCAGAGATACTATTATTAACATTTAGGTGTATCCTTCCTCATTGTGTATATACGCTAACATATGTAACATTATACATACAGTATATATACATATAGGTTTTTTATCATATTCCTCTTACATCTGTTTTAGAAGAAACAATGGGGCTGCATTCATCAGCTTGCTTGTCTCACCTAACAATGTGTCATGCACAGCTCTGCTGGTCAGCAATAGTTGAATATGATTCCCTTGTACAGATCTAGCATAACTGACTCAACCGTTTCCCTACTGTTAGAGGTGTGCCTACACCTAAAGACTTCAGTCATTATTTCTAGAAGTAATCCTGTAATTAATGCCCTGTATATTCTATAGGACTGATTCCCCAAAGTAGGGCTGTTGGGTCAAAAAAAAAAAATGTGCATTTTAAAATATAAATAGATACTGACCAATTACCTTCCCCAATTCATACTCCTAACATCAAATATGTGTTGCCTCCCTACAAACCTCCCCATAACTGAATATTATCATTTCTTTACTATTTTAAATTCTTTTCTTATTGATTTGAGAGAGAGAATATTGATTTGTTGTTCCATTTATTTACACATTCATTGGTTCATTCCTGTATGTGCCCTGACCCGGAATCAACCCACGACCTTGACGTACTGAGACAACGTTCTAACCAACTGAGCTACCCGGCCAGGGCTGTATCAATCAGTCTTTTTAAGCTCTTACCAATCTGACGGATTAAAAAATGGCATCTTGCTTTTCATTTACATGCCCCTACTTGCGAAATCTGTTTGTCTGTGGTGTTGACTGGCTCTCATTTTCTGTTTGATGGACTGCCTTTGCACGGTCTACCAGTTTTCCAGTGGGCTGTGTGTCTATTTCCATTTGTATGTTAGGAAAATTAACTTTTGTTTATATACAACTTTTCATCACAGAAAATTGACTCAGTCTACAGACACAAATGGGTTCCCTCTAATAATTAAGGCATTAAGGACATCAGCTTCATTTTTCATGTAGAAAGTCATTAAGGATTACACATTTCCATGTAAAGAATATGCACAATTAAGAGCATTTACTTATTCGACAATTAGTTACTGTGTGCTTATGATGTCGAAAGCACTATGCTAGGAGCACAGGTGATGTGGGCATCTATCCTCCAAGGGGTTAAGTTCAATAGGGCAGAGGAGTCAGAGACAGAGTCAAGTGACAGTGGAAGACACTACGTGATTAAATGGCAAAAAGGGGTGGGTAAAGACTACAGAACAGTTCTGTTCACCTCATCCCCTCTAAATCCAGATCAGAGTAAAACCTAGAAACGATTCTATAAACCCAAAGCCTGCTTTCACAGCCAATGGTCTCCAGAGTGAGGCAAGTGTACTCTGGGCAGCGCATGCAGTGGCCCATTAGGTAATGGGAAAAAAATGCTACAGCTTCTCCTCTACTACAGTGGCTTTGATCTTTTTTTTTCGTAAAGAGGAAGTCACAAAAATTTACGAATTTGGCTCTTTGAAGCTTTACAGATTTTAGCATTGGCAGCCTCACTTGATCTATGCATCGAGCAGTCTGTGCACCAGGAACCCGGGGCAGAGCCCAAGTCTCACAGCCCAGTGGGGCTGACAGGGAACGGCGCACTGCGGTATACACCAGGTTACATAATTTTCAAGTTGTATCATTTGATTTTAACTACGCTGCCCTCCCAAAACGAGCAAGTAAGTTAAACTACAAAGGCGCCATGAACTGAGATAATAATAACAGCGTAAGTGCAGGCAAACAAGAACACGGCAGGGCTGAGACGTCTCTTCACAGCAGACACTCCTCATTAGCTGCACAAAGCAAACACAGACAACCCAGTCTAATCTTCCAAAAAGCCAGCTTCCCTCCAAAGATGTTCAAAATATCAAAAAGGCTAACCTGAAGCAAGTTTACATTTACATCTTTAATTCGAAACCTTACCATGAGTATGTATATATTGAGCTATTAATTAATGTAGTTTAGAAATATATTGTCAAATCTTACAATAACATGCCCTTTGAAAATATGAGTTTGGAGACTGACCCCTGTCCCCAGGCCCCATGTACATCAAACAGAAGGGTGATGCACTTTTTAAGTCCCA